GAACTATAGGTTCCAGCATTTTTTTTAATTTTTTTTTATGTAAAATAATTTCTTTTATTATTAATAATAAATAGAAATATTTTTTTTTTTAGTAGTAATTATATTTTATTAAAAAAAAGAAAGTTTTTTTTGCGGAATATTTGCGGGATTGCGGATAATTGCGGATTTGTGGATTTGCGGATTTTTAGATTTAAAAATCCGCAATGTTCCGCAATACCGTAAATCGCAATTATTCCGCAATTACATATTTGCGGCACCATCCTTAGGGCTAGGGAATTCAATAACGGAATAACCAACCCCCAATATAATCAAAAATGATTGTACAACCTATAGATATTTGACCATCTATTGATGGTATTATGGACATTAAAAATACATTTAAGATAACAACAATTAATGTGTCAGGACTAAATACAACACTTAAGCAAGAACAAGTTTTAAATTATATGAAAATTAATAAGATTAGTTGTTTAATAGTTACAGAAACAAAACTTCAAACTGCTAGTGCGAAAATGATTTATAAAGATTATAAGGATATAACGACTTGGTGGTCATGTGACGATGACAACCATTTTTCGACTGGAGTTGGGATTATAATGAATAATGATTACGCAAAATATATTATTAAAAAAGATATTATAGAAGAACGAGCTCTAAAACTTACGTTACTTTTGAAAGGAAAGATTCGTTTTACAATTATCACAATTTATAACTTTTCGAATAATAGTTATAAAGATGAAATTTTGGAATTTTATACGAAATTAGAAGAAATTTTAACAGCCGAGAAAAAATTAAAAGCTAAAATAGTTTGTATTGGAGATTTTAATGCAAGTTATGATACAGCGATAGTTCAACAAAAAGCAAATCAAAAAATTTTCTGGAAAGATCGAATTTTTCAGATTTTAAAAAAGAACATTATAATTGATATTAATTTAATTTACCATGATAAACCGTTGAATACATGGAATAGATCAGATAAAAAATCTAGAATTGATTACATATGGGTCACAGAAGATTTAGTACCAGATACCATATACGCGTCTACGAATAAAGTACACATATTTGAAACCGATCATTCAGCTGTTACGGTATATTTCCAAATAGATGATCTGTTTCGTACAAAACAATTATTTAAGAAGAAAAAACATAATAATAATAATTTGAAAGTGGATTATAAGAAAATAGATAGTCTATTATGGGAAACATACGCAGAAAAATTAGGAAAGTTATTGGATAAAGAAAAAGATTTAATTAATAATGTAGAAATTTCGATCAAGAATATAAATAGAATATGGAACACAATCCAAAATACGTTTAAAAAAGTCAATAATGAATTGCCAAAAAAGAAAGGTAACCCGAATAAAGAAGTGTTACCTAAAACTATCGTGTTTTATAAGAGATTTTTACATAAATTATCATTTATTTTAACAAATTTAACGGAAAAAAGATCATGAGTTTGAATTTAACTAATTATAGAGAATGTAAAAAATTTATAAAAAAGCATTATGAAACAATATCAGAAATATGTTTTAAATTTGCAATAGACATAGATGGACTGCTCGATAAAAATATAAAAGAGTTCAAAGAAATAGTCAAAATAGCCTTTAAATTAGTTCAGGTAAATTTTGATGAAGAAAGTCAAATATATAAAGAAGAGAAAATGAAGTTTTATATTCAACGACGGTGTGAGGATCTACAAGACAATAAAAAAAGGTTCCTAGATTCCACATTGAATAGAAAAAGAAGTAAAATTGTCCTGGATAAAATAGTGATAGAAAAAAATTCAGTAAAACAATTAATTTTGGATGAGGAATTGATAGAAAATGAGTTGATCGAACATTTCAAATCATTTGCGGAAAAAAAGTTGAATTCAAATGAAACGTTAAAAGGAAGATGGATTAATCAATATAGTCCTAAAGAAGATATAAATGAATGTTGGTATAATGAGGTTATTCAACCTATTAGTGAGAGTAAATGGGACCATATGATTAGACAGCTAGCAAATGACAAAGCGCCAGAAATCTCCCAGATATCGAATGAAATGCTCAAACATATGGGAACTTCAATAAAAAGTGCTATGCTAAAATTAGCAAATTTATGTTTACAAGTTGGTGATATCCCTGAAGAATGGAGACACGCGTTATTGTATCCTATCCCAAAGACAATGGATTGGGAGTACTCATTAACAAAAACTAGACCAATAATACTCCTAGAAACTTTGAGAAAAGTGTTAGTGAAAATTATTACAAAAAGATTATCTAAAGTTATTGCAAAACGTAATATATTAAAAGGAGGCAACCATGCAGGACTCACAGGTGGATATACAGAGGCGCCTATAAGAATCATTAATACTTGTATCGAAGATGCAAAGAAGAATAATAAAGAGTTATGGTTGACTTTTCAGGACCTTTCTAAAGTTTATGATAGGGTAGATATTAAGATGCTTAAATTAGCACTGCAACGAATTAAGATTCCAGAGGTTTTGATCTGTTTGATGATTAATTTATTTACGAATAGTAAAAAAAGTGTTATAAAAGAAAAAGGAATAATGAAACAATATACGTCTATTATTGGAATAGATCAAGGTGAGGTTATTTCACCGCTGCTATGGACAATTTATTATGATCCATTGCTTGCAGAAATTAATTCATTACAAATGGGATATGAAATTGATTATTGCTTTAAAAGTAATGTACAATCAGACCAAGAAGAAAAATTTAAGATCAATATATCATCACAGTCATACATGGATGATGTCACGTGGATTACTAAAAGTAAAGCTCAATTAGAGCAGATCTTGAAAATTGCAGACGAATTTAATATTATGAATAATATACAAACAAATTATGATAAGTTTGAAATGATAACGAACAAAAAGTTAGATAAAGATATTATTGAAGTTAATTTCAGATCGTCAAAAAGAATGATTAAACCATTAACATCAAAAGAATCTGTGAGAATTTTAGGTGTTTGGATTAATCTAGATTTAAAAACTAATTATGTCTTTAATCAGTGCAAGGATATTATTAAAAGATATAATAAAACAATTAGCTTCAAACAAATAACGGATTTACAGATGAAATATATATATAATCACGTGATCATTCCTCGTGTTGACTATAAAGCACAATTGTTAGTTTGGACAAATTCTCAAACAGATAAATTAAATTCTACCTGTAGATATATGTTTAAAAGAAAAGCGTCATTGCCACTTACTACTCCTAATAGTATTATACATTCATCATTGGGTTATGCTATTAAAGATATTAATACGATTCAAGCTCAAAGACAATTAAGTAGATTATACAATCAAGTGACATCAAAAGGTATGATGAAAGACATTTTTGAAATAGATTGTAAACAATTGCAAAGCGAATTATTGTCTAATAAATCTCCATTAGCAACATGGAATATCAGTTTGAAAGATTTACAAGTAAAACACTGTTTATTAGCTCGTGTTTTAGCACTTTTATATGATAATATGTTAACCATAAAATCAAGTGGTGTGAAAGTTAATCAGATTCAAGGGGGATTATTACCAATAGTAGAAATATATACACATAAAGAAATATTTTTAAATGGAATTAGTAAGGGTCTGAAAGGGAAAAATGTTTATTTCGTTAGTCAGTTAATGTCATCAGATGGTATACGTCTTCAGAGATATAAAGATTTGAAATATAGGACTAAGATAAATACACAGGGTAGAATCTCTAGGTGGTTTAAGTTTATAAAAACTAAACTAATTGAAGATCCTTTAAAATCTAAGAAAGTGAAGACGGATTATCAATTAGGATATAATATATATAGTGTAAATACAAAAATTGATAATCTAAAAATAAAAAATTGGATAACAACCTTTCATAATCAAATAGGTAAACCTATAATAGGGCGTGTTTTAAACAAGCCAAAAGAGGACAAAATTCGTATAGAACATTGGATACAAGATCTAGAAAATGATCAAATATCACCATCAGTACAGTTACCTATTCTTAAGAAATGTGGAGGATGTGAAGTGAAAACGAATCAGATCAGAAATAAAAGAAGTAATACTAAAGTAAGATGTATAGCAGATATTAGTATAGAGAATTGTGTTAAAGTTAATGCAAATTCAATACAAAATGATCATTATATAGCAGATATGGCTATTTACGAGGCGTTAGCTCAAGCGGAATGTAAATACTACGGAAAAACGTCTATGAATGAACGTATTATTGAAAAAGTGAACGGCTTGTTCAAATATATACATCCAAGTGATTATCGTAATACGTTGATAGAAATTGCAAATAATTTAACGCAAGAAACTGATATAGAGATTTATACAGATGGGTCAGTGAAAAATATAGCAACTAACGAAATAATGATGGGTTGTGCATTTGTAATTAGCGCTCCCATAAAGAAAAGTTTTAATTGTGGAATTACAGATAATCCCTCATCTAATAAGGCGGAATTAATGGCAGTGATTTTAAGTTTAATGACTTGTCCTAAAACTGCAAATGTCGAAATATATAGTGATTCTCAATGGGTAGTGAATATATTTGATGATTTAAACTTTTTGACGATTAAAGATATAGAAAGATCAAAAGTCAATTATAAGGTTTTATGGTTATGTTTATTCAAAATAATTAGGATTTATAGTCTCAAAGTAAAGATAACTAAAGTTAAAGCGCATAGTGATTGTGATTATAATAAAGAAGCAGATAAGCTCGCTAAATTTGGTGCTGAGAAAAACGTATTAATAATAGAGGATAAATTGTTATTACACAATGGTACAGTTTGTTGGAGAGATATGCCTATAGAACGTAACCCTATCCTTATGATAAAGGGAATAAAGGATGCTCAATTTATAGAAGAATTAATAATGTTACATCATAATGAAGTCTATAGACAATCAGATCTATTAAGGTTGATAGATTGGAAAATATCTTTAAAGTTAAATAACATAAATCAATATGATACATTGTTTGAGGATCAATATTTACAATCATTTAGGATTAAAATTTGCTGTAATGAATTACCAACTTGTGCTAATTTAAAGAAGCGAAAGCCAGATCTATATGATGAAAATTGGAAATGTAATTTTAATAAAATAGAAGAAGAAACCTTTGACCATTTTTGGAAATGTAGTAAGATTCAAAATGTGGTGCAAGATATACTCACACGATTAAAAAATTTCTTAGTTAAAATAATACAAGAATATTCAAGAGATGATATAGATATACATGAATTAAAAATTAAAATTAATGAGCTCAATATGTGGGAAATTGGACGCTTATATGATTTTACATTTTTAATGAAGAATCAAATTAGTTGTCAGTTAATGGAATTATTAAGGTGCTATAAAATAACTGAAGAAAAATTGTTGTATAAGGTACTGAAACAAATAACTGGTAGAGTTTTATTAGAATTCAAAGTGCTTATTTGGGAACTAAGGAACGAGTTACAAATAAAGGAAGAAAAGCGGTGCGGTATTAGCGCTGTCTCTTATACACATCTAGATGTGTATAAGAGACAGANTGAAGAAAAATTGTTGTATAAGGTACTGAAACAAATAACTGGTAGAGTTTTATTAAAATTCAAAGTGCTTATTTGGGAACCAAGGAACGATTTACAAATAAAGGAAGAAAAGTGTTGCGGTATTAGCGGTAAAGATAAAAAAGCTAAGTCACATAGTAAATGCACTGAAGTGGGTGTTAAAAATGTTGACTGTAATATGTTAGAAAATAATTGGAATAAATGGAATGATTTGGCATTCCATCGTGGTGGTCACTGGGCAAATTTTTAGGTAGATCATGACAGTCACCTTTGAATTTGAGGTCGCATCATGGTTTTTGATTTTATTTTAAAAAAATGCAAGCCGAAAGTTCCAAAAATAGTTCTACTTTTCCAAGTTTAGAATATTTTTTACCCGATAATGAATATGATTCTGATGATTTTGATTTTTTAGGATATGATTTAGTTGAAAAGTTAGATGAAATAAATACGGAACAAAATGAAGTGATAATTAATGAAAAAATGAGAAAAGATAATGATGCTATAGTTGATGATAAAAAAAACGATATTATAATTGAAGGTGAAGATGATGTTATAGTTGATGATGATATTATGGTTGAAGATATTGAAGATGTTGAAGATGTTGAAGATAATGTTATAGTTGATGATATAGATATTAATTTACAGAAAAGAAAGAGAAAACGTAGTAAAAAAATCATATTGCAAACAGACATAGATAAATTACGGAATAAATTACACGCTAATAAATATTTTATGGAAGAGATAACACCAGAATTGGTCTGTTGTAAATGTGGTAAAGAAATCCGTTTAGATCAAAAATTTAGAGATAAAATCTTACAACGCATGGTGAATTGAGTAATTGTAAGTATAGTAACGAAGGACAGCAAAGTATTAAAGTTTTTTTTAAACCTAAAAAAATTAGAGTTGAAGAGGAAAATATAATTGTCAAAAATGTTGCATGTAAGGGATTATTTGAGGATAAATATCGAGAATATGTGCTTAATAGTCCAGCTGAATTTGGAGGATCAATCAGACCTGATATAGCCGCAAAAGAGTTATTTCCAGAAATTGTTAAAGCAAATCTTAAACTAAAAAGTCTTGGTAAAATGAGATGTGCTGATCTTAAAAATTATTTACGTGCACATGCTATACTATGGATATTAGATAAAACTACTCTTTCTGTTAGAAGTAAAACGTGTGAAAATTTTACAACTAGAGAATCGAGTATTTGTGACGAATGTGACAAATTAAGAAAAAATAGTCGCTTAAATCAAGCAACGAAGAAGGTATGTATTTAAATTATCTGTATTTCATTTAAAAATTTTATCTAATTTTTTATGTTTATTTTTTAGCAACGAGCAACTGGAAAAAATATTCGCTTTATTCCAAAATGGTATCTTGAACATCCTTTAAGTAAATTACTACTTAATACAAATCTTAAATCATTATGGGTATCAGCTGATAATAGTGATAGTGACGCAGAAATATGGTTTAAGTTGGCTCAATTTGGAAAAGATGGATTATTTAAAGGAGAAAAAACATTTCAAGAATTAGCATCATTAATGATACAAATACAAGAAAAGAAATTACAGGATAAAAAAATGACAGGTCTTCGTTACTCTGAATATTTAAAACAATTTTTTTGTTTATTATCAGATAGTAGCTGTGAATATGAAATCTTTAGACAAATGTTTGCAGGAATGAGCATTAGATCTATAAGATATATGCGAGCAAAAAAAAGTGATATTGTATCTAATCCAGAGTTAGTATATGAAAATATACTTAAAGTTGCCCGGCTAACTAGAGCACTTAATTGGAACGGACCTATTGTTGGGATGACAGATTGTACAAAAATTCGGCCTAAACTTACATATTCAGATGAATTAGGTTGCGTTATAGGGTCAACTTTAAAATTATCAGAAACTTCAGTTCAAACATATGATGATATACATAAAATTGTGAATATTATAAAGCAAAAAAAAGCTATCGCAACTCAAGTTAGGGTAGTGGTACTAAAGGTATAAATTAATTATAACTTTTATATTTGAATATTTACTTATAAATAAAAGTTAATAAAAGTATTTGTTTATATTTTTAGATTCCAATCGAAAAAATTCCACCTCTTGTAATTGCTATGTTGCCAACAAATGGAGAATCAAATGCTACGAAAATATATGATCTTTTAATGAATGTATTAATTATGTCACGAGATGCAAGTATTAATCTAGTTAGTTTAGGATCAGATGGTGCTCCTGCTGAATTTAATGCGCAACGATTAATAATGAATTGTGAAAAGGCTGAGAGTTTTTTTGAATTCCATGATAATTATTATAATGTACATTTTAAGGTAATTAAAATATAATATATTTATGTATTTTGTTTTAAAAAAAAACTAAAATTAATTAAATTAATATGTGCAGATGCCAATATACCAAAATTTACCCATTATAACCGTACAAGATCCTAAACATGCTAAGAAGACAGCTCGCAATCAGCTTCATTCAGGTGCAAAACTACTTGTTCTTGGAAATAATGTAATGCTTTATCGGCATCTTTTAACTCTTGCTCAAGCTAAAAATCATGCAATTTATATTCGAGATGTCGTCAATGTTGATAAACAAGATGATGGTGCCGCGTATAGATTATTTCATTCAGATGTATTAGAACAAATGTATCAAAATGAGCTGGAAAACAACGAAATGCAATCTTTATTTGTCTATTTGTTTGTATTAGGTGTGTAAAATAATAATTGTTAAATAAATTGATACAATATTTTATATCTATATTATATTTAATAAACTATTTAATTTAAATAGGAGATCTCTTTGATTCATATTTGAATCGTAATATTTTTCATAAAGAATGAATTATTATGGCTATGTGTGGATACTTTTTTTTAAATATGTGGGCTGAATACATAGAAGTGCTAATCAATTATATAGTTCAATATTTTCTATTTCTAAAAACTTTATTTCTCCACAAAGTTTTAAAATTTTTACTAGTTTAGCAGAATCATTAATACTTTTAATTATATCTCACTGTGAATTTTATTCATTATATCCTTTATATCCTTGGGAACACGGTACTGAAGCTATAGAACATCTATTTGGCATATCACGCCAAATAACAAATGATTTTTCCTTTTATGAATTTTTTAAAATTCAACAACGTGTTGCTTATCGGGATAAAATTATTAGACAAGGTATACAAATCCAAAAGGAAAAGACATCAGCGTCAGGTACTATAAAGCGTAAACTAATAAATTTTTTTTTTGTAATTATGTATAATTAATAATTAATTTATTAGATTATATATTTGATTTTAATCCAAATTCTATATCAAATGAAAATATTGATATTTTGCGAATATGGCCTGATGATAATGCTATTTATGATGCAATCAAAACAGCATATAATGATGCGGCTGGATTTATTAAAGCATTAGGAATTAAACTATTAAATGATAAAACGATTCCACATTTTTATGTTTCAACATCACATCAATCAATGGTAATTTCCGATCTTTCAAAGAACTGTAATGATGATTTTGATATAGATAATATTAGTGGATTAGATTTTAACAATGAAGAATTTGAATTGGACAATTTGAATGAAAATTCTTTTACCGATGCAGCTTCAGAAGTAGCACGATTATCAAAATTAGTAGATTTAACAGAATCAGAGTTGAAACAAATATCTGATATTTCAGATTCATCAAAAGTGGAATTAAACCATATTTTAAATACTACAAAATTCTCTTCATTAATTGAATTTCAACAAAATGAATTATTTTATACAAATGGTTTGATGAATGTATCACAAATAATTCAAATTCGTACATCTCATAATGCATTTTCTCGATCTGAAAGGCCTTGCCAAAATCGTAGATTAAATGCAATTCAATCATCTAATAACTAAAAAGAATTCAATAGAAATTCAGCAAATTTGTTAATTTCAGAATTTTTCCGAAAAGATGGTACTTCAGAACCAACAATTAGATCGCGAAAAGAAAGATGGACAGGAAGGAAAAATTTAGAAAATATTGGATTACCTCAATATATTAATGGTATATTTAATGAGTTTTTAATAGTAAATAATTTATTCTATTATTTATTAGATTTTCATTATAGTCCCAAACATTTCTCGTGCAAATGTAACTGATAATAATCCATTAAGAGAAAACGGATTTATTTTATATATATCAAAGGAAAGTATATTTTTAGGAAAAATATTATTATTATATAGATCAATATCTATGCGACATGCTTATGTTTCTTTTTCTCAAGATATAGATTCTTTATCTTACATTTCAGTTGCTACATTTGTCAATACCGACGGCAACTTATTTTCTCAAATATGTAAATCTGGTGGTAATATATTTGCTCATATAACTCCAAAGCAAGTTATTTATCATTTTGATAACAGTTGTTTGGATATAAATAATGTTGCAAGTTTACCTGGTCGTCTATGTTTGGAAGGAAATTCTTGGGAAATTTTTAATTTTTTTTCACAAAAACATGTAATTAATGTTATAGCAACAATATTTGGTTAATTTCTATAATAAATAGTAATAAAATCAGGTTATAAAAACCAAAACAGGTTGTTTTTATTTTGGGTAACACTTATAGGAAAGATTTAAGGTTACTAGTAAACTGGGTAACGTTATTAGTAAATTTTTGGCTTAACTTGGGTAAAGATCATAGTAAATTTTTAAATTTTGAAACAACCTATATATATAGTTTCCGGGGTCCTAATGATATATTAAAAACAATATTGGATAAATGGATAAGTGAATACCAAATTGAAGAATCACATGATGAATTTTCATCAAATGATGAAGAAAATATTATAAAAATCTCACCAAATCCCTCAAGTTCAGAAGAATCAGAAAACTCAAGTAATAATATAACAGAAAATAATAGTCTAAATAATACCTTAAGAATAAATATCTCAACCTTAGGAAATTCAACTAGAAGTAATAATTCAATACCAATAATGGCTACTAGAGATTAAGTGAGAGAAGATATTAGAATAGTGATGAGGACTATCTTTAGAATAAATCTAAGATAGAATTTAATTGCAGCCTCAGTCAATACAATTAATACTACTTTAACAGGTATATTAAATCCAATCTATAGAGCTGTGAAAATAGCAAATTTACTAATTTTCTATAAAGGAGAATAAGATGCTAATGATTGGATTAGAGACTTCAATAATGTATATGCAGCAAATAGTTATGATGGTGATCAAATAGAAAAATTAAGGAAAGTAAAATCATATTTAAAAGACAAAGCAGCAGATTGGTTAAAAGGAATAAATGGAATAACTAATTTTAATGGAGCAGCTGATAACACTAGTTTGTCACATCAGATGGAGAGTAAATATACTAGTACTATTAAATAACAACAATGAACAAGAGAATTACAATCTATTAAACAAAAGAAAAGAAAAAAAGTAGGTGAATATGCAACAAAATTTAACAAATTATTGAAAAGAGTAGTATCAGATAATAATAATTTACATGATAGATTTAAAGTAAATTATTTTATACAAAAATTAAATTCCATAATTGCAGAAAGAATATTTGAAGGAAATTCAGGTATCCTAGTTGATGCAATTGCTAATATAGAAGTAGGTAACAATTTAATGTTACAAGGATTAGGAATCTTTAATTTAAATATAAATAAAAGTTCAATAAGTAAACTTCAAACAGCTACAGTTGATAATAATATCACAAATAAAGTAGATAACTTAGCTAAACAGTTAAAAGAATTAAAAATTGCTAAATTAGAAAAAGAAATATTAAGTATTAAAAATAAGATTAATAATAACATCCAGAAACACCACAAAGATGTCAAATGAATAAACTTCAATTTTAGTAAAGATCACCAATAGATTGGAGTAAAATCAATTGTTATAACTGTAGTAAAATAGAACATACTGTCAGATTTTGTAGAGAAAATATACAACAATATAATATATGTAATAGATATAGAAGAAAATAATCAAGATTGTTATTAGTTATGATAATGAAATAGGATTATACTATTATTTCAATTATGATTATCAACAATATGAAGAAATCCAAAATGAGTTATGTTATTAAAATAATAGATATTATTTATCAGAAAAAACAACTAGAAGTTAAATAAGGAATAACCCATTAATAGGTAATAAAACATTATTTAACAGAGACCTAATTATTAGAAAACAACTAATAAATAATGATGTAAAAATAACTGAACAAATTACTAGGAGACCATATATTAAAAAGAGGGAAGGAAAATTTCAAATTAGACCTAGTAGATTTAAAACTAATACATGGGAATGACGGAATGTGATACAGTAAGATCTTATTTTATACACTGCCCTACAATAAATTACCGGATTTGACAAAATTTGCATAGCAATTTTCACGTTGCATATAAGTTTATGAATTTTTAATAAAATTCAGCCAGAATTTTTTTATTTGAAAGCTGATCATAAATAGTTTTTATGTATCAAAATAAATAAATATGATTAATTATAAATATAAAAAAGTTTTCTCATTGCAAAATAATACAAAAAATCATGAAATTCTCACTTTTTTTCAGCAATGGGTCAACTCTTTAAAATTTTAAAAAATTTTAAAAAGTTGACCCATTGCTGAAAAAAAGTGAGAATTTCATAATTTTTTGTATTATTTTGCAGTGAGAAAATTTTTTTATATTTATAATTAATCATATTTATTTATTTTGATACATAAATACTATCTACGATCAACTTTCAAATAAAAAAATTCTGGCTAAATTTTATTAAAAATTCGTAAACTTATATGCAACATGAAAATTGCTATGTAAATTTTGTCAAATCTGGTAATTTATTGTAGGGGAGTGTATAATAGTAAATTTATTCTAAATAACATGTCCTTAAATTTTACATACTGTTTTATAATCTTTTAAAATGATTGAATATTAAAATTAGTAGATAATTATTAAAATACTTTTATTATTAACAACTTTTTAAAATTAGTTAAATTATAAAATAAAATTTGATAAAAATGGTAAATATATAAAATATTATTCTATTATAATATGAAATTTGCAATTAAAATTATATTTATATAAAAAAATTGGCAAGTTTAATATTGGCTAATTTTATAAAACTAAAATTTACTATAAATTTATTAAGAAACTTGCTTTTGCTTTTTATTGCTATAAGTAAACTGATTCCTCATATATATTTATACATTAAAAAAAATAATACTTACCTTTTAGGCTTCTACTAATATATAAGTTGCATATTGGAATTGAAAATATAAAAGTTAGTTCAATGTAAATTTTTTATAAGTATTGTATTAAAAAAAAAGGTATTTAAATAAGTAAAATAAATCCTAAAAAATAAAAATATATAAGGTTTTTATAATATATAACTTAAGAAAATTATGTTAATATAAAACATGAAAATCATTATTTATTAGTAATTACAAGATACCCTTAAAAAATGGAATATTTCCACTCACTGATATTTATACCAAGGCAATTTTTATTTATGTTAAACACAGGTTTTCAAAAAAGATAAATTTTTGCACTGATCATTTAGGAATTAAATTTAACATCTTTAATGACATTTGAAACCATTTCTGACACTTAAAGTAAACTTGCAAAATAGGTAAAAATACACTTATTTTTTTTTATATTATACTAGTTGTAGTTGCTTCGCACCAGGATTGTTTTTTTTAACGTCACGTAATAAACTGGCCAATGGAAATAAGGTTGCTTATTAAGTTTTTTTATTGTTATAAGAACATGTGATGCGTGTTTGAAACACCCGTGTATAATCAATCTAAAGAATCATATATAAAATTTTTTATAGTCTCCATTATATCTATCAAAATATGATTGTCAATTTGTATAATTTATTAATATAAAGATTTCAAATTAAAAGTGCAATTAATAAATATCACAGAAGTTCTGCCTTCCTATATATTCGAAGTAAGAAAAAAATTCTATTGTTTTTAGTTTTTACTTTGATTGATATACTAGTTATTCTAGTTCGAGACGAATGAAATAAATGAACAGGAATGAGAGTGGATTCTATAATGTAACTCAACCGATTATTTCAATAAATTTTATTAATAACTTTCTCTTACAAATCAAATCGCCTTACGGTTGAGCATTTACGAAAAAATGTTATTATTCATGTGAATACGCTAATTTTTCACGATTATGACATCATTTTACAATTATTTCAAGCCTGTATTTTGAAGCAGGATCATTGATGGGTAAATGAAAATTCCTTGCCATGGAACTGACTGTAAAACGTATAAAGGATCATAAATCCGCTTCAATATCATTGTAGTTAAAAATAACGCAAAACTAATACTTTACAATTTCGCTCTGAAATTATGTCTGTATATCGTGTCTGAAATTAATGCACTAAGATCGCCAATGAGCTTTCCGCACGTGTATTTGGTTACACGATCCTAAAATTCCATAATTTTTTATAAACTATCAAATTAAATCATGAAAATAATCAAAAAATGGTTAATGATTTGGTTTAATTTCCAATTAGGAATCTTTTCAATTGCTTATTTGCTTAATTTTAGATCAGATAAGAAATAAAATTAAATGTCAAAAGTTTACACATTGGATTATCAGGTATGTAATCAAATTTACTGAATATATCATAATATACTTTATCACTCAATTAAGAGACTTAATAATGATTTGAGTTGCAGTAATTTGAGTTCGCTGAACTTTCAAATAAGACAGTTCATTAAAGCCATTATTATTAAAAATAACTCTGGTTAGAAATCTTTCACCTGACTCTCCATTGTATCCGACGTCAACGGATGTATCTATCATACCTTGTTAAGAGCTCATTTATAAACCATATTATAAATATAATCATTATACACGAAACCAAATCTCGAGAAATTTTATTGTTATCAATTTTTCTTTAACTATTAATATNGCTCATTTATAAACCATATTATAAATATAATCATTATACACGAAACCAAATCTCGAGAAATTTTATTGTTATCAATTTTTCTTTAACTATTAATATTTATTTATTCAAAAAACATAAATATACAGATATGTAATATTAAAGAATATGAAAGTATAATTAATAATAAAAAAGGATTCTTAACAACGCAACTAAACTTGGAACTTTTTGTGACAACTTACTAGAGCAATCGCGCTATTAAAACCANAAAGTATAATTAATAATAAAAAAGGATTCTTAACAACGCAACTAAACTTGGAACTTTTTGTGACAACTTACTAGAGCAATCGCGCTATTAAAACCAAACAAGTTAATTGCTACTGGAATTGGTGATAAATTTCGAATTTGTTTTTTTTTCTCGTTCTTTTTTTTTTTTAAAAAGAAAAAAGAACAATCATTTATTTTTTACATTTGTTATTAGATACAAACATACTAATTACTAATGATAAAATATATTGATTAATTTAGTATGTATAAATTTCTTTTTTTTAGATAATTTGTTTATTTTTTTTTGCCGGGTAATGCAATATTTGTCACTCCTGTATCTGCCAACCAATAGAAACAAAAATTCATTCCCATTAGTATTTTTAGTCATTTTCTGCATTTCCTAAGTGAATGTTGCAAAGTAAGAGAGAGCTTCCTTTTTCTTTTTTCTTTTTATTGTTTTCTATTTTGGTCCTTTTTGGGTAGAGAAGGCCAAGTAGCTGAATCATATGTTTTTGTTTTACCACCCGGACTAAGAGGAGCATTGATTGTTGTTTTATCATCCGTAAGTGATTTTGAATTATGTGGGGATTGTGGTGGATTAGAAATAGGACTATCGATAGTTTCGGACTTATCATTATCAGCCTTGCTGACACTATCGGTGCTGTTGCTACGACTTGAATTGCCACTTTCAACGCTACTAAAGCTGCTACTACTATCTCTTCGATGTTGTGTGGGAATATCATCAATAGTTAGTTCATTTTGATTTTCGAGATCAGTATCGTCAGTTACGTAATCTTCTGTACTTGTATCTGCAGGGATTTCTAAACCTTCGTCCGAATCATCATCATTATATTCAGAGTCATCACCTTTTTGCTGCCTGTTATCACTTTCTTCGTATTCGTGTCCTACTTTTCCGTATCTTAAAGCCATCCAATCATACCAATCATCTACAACTTTACCATTGAGAAAACCGACAATGATAACAGTCATATTATCACATCCGATTCCACCAAGTTCACTATCTTTAGCCAAGCATCTTTCCATCAAATTCTCGCAAGCTTTTTGAAGATTGCGGTGTACGGAGATCTCTCGACGAATAAAATTAACAACTTGCTGCGAGGTAAGGCAGTCCCATATACCTAGATAATATATAGGAATATTTAAAATTAACTAACTTTTCAAATTAAATAAATTCAGTGCGAAAAATCAGTAATTAGAAATTACCATCACAAGCTAATACTAAGAATTCTGTTTTCTCTGTAATATCCTCTTTTCTGACGTCAGGATATGCTGTAAATGGTATAATATTATTAAGTACAAAAATAATACAAGATAAATAAATAAATAAAAAAGGGAATTATAACCAGACCTGTTACGATTTGATGTTCTGGTGTTAGACTTGGATTTTGTTTAAATTCAAAGTCGCCAATAGCACGCGACAAGGCCAAATTTCCTATTGAAAATATAAATTATAAATTATAAATTTTTATGCAAAAAATCGGTATATAAAGCTTCGATATTGGTCTTAGTCTTTCGTGATTTTTGACAATAGAAAGTTTTAGTCAATCACTATAAAACCACAAGTAGAAAACAATCTTTAAGACAATAAAGAGAATCATACCATTCACTCGACCAAATTCAACAAAACCACCGGCTTTCGTAATACGATCAGATTCCTCTACGAAAAAAAAAAAAAAAAATTAGCTTATTAATATATATAACATACATAATATTTTTAATATTCTTAAAGTTAAATGGAACCTACCTTTATTAACAGGTTTATGATCATTTGACATAGGATTTGCAATTCCATCTATGCTGATAACAGCACGAGAATCACCCGCGTTCCCCTAAAAAAAAGATAAAAAGTATAAAATATTTGCTCAAATTAATAAGTAAATTAAATAAATGAAAACATACAACATAGACTTGATTTTGAGGCGTAATTATTGAAGTAACGGCGGTACAGCCGGAGGGATCATTAGCATATTGTGAATCTAAAATTAAAAATAAATTCGATCAACATATTAAATAGAATAAAGTTCCATCGATAAATCATTGATTGATTTTTATACCATTTCTCAAGTCTTCATCAGTCCCCAAGAATCCACTTTTTATAGCCTCTTCAATATTATTAGGAAATGCAGGGTCTCTAGCAATTCGTTCATGTAAGTGAGCACCGCTATATTTAGCAATATTTTGTCCTTAAAATACACAAAACGAAAAAAAAATTTATTAACGATTTTTTATTATAATATAAAATAATTATGACTATATTATAAAATATTTACCACCGTGACCGTCGTAAACACCAAAAAAACTATAACCTTTTTTATCTGCAAGTGTTAATTCGGCAGTATGCGCGTCTTCCATGCTAATACGCCAGCCTTGCATTGCAGACGAAGCAAATAACAGACGATCGTCATGGCCACTGTCTGAATGTTTCTCTTTAACTGGCTCTGAAAGTGTTTGACCCATTTTTATCGTTTATTTATTATATTAATATTTCTAAGAAACAGATTAAGGTATGAAAAAAATTATTAAAAATTATTTTATTAGTTAGGTTCAAAGTTTAATAAGTTTTAATTTTTTTCCAACTCGCAAAAGCTTCCAACAAGATAAGCTAAAACAAAAAACCAAAATTTTTAGCTTTTATACTTTTTATATTTTATTTCGGACTTTTACAGTATACCTTTTAGAATAGAAGTGCTTTTTTTTTGCGGAATTTTTCTTCAGAGAAAGAACATTTTTTTTTTCTTATTATATCGTAAGTAGTACAAATATTATCTATACACTACTCATTATAAATAATTTTTACTACTGCAGTTTGATTAATTTATATATATATACAAACAAAGCTATTATAAAATTTATTTATAATAAATATAAATTAAGTATTTTTACTTACAGGTTTTAAAAATGATAAAATGAAAAAAAAAATAATATAATAATTTTTTTTAGAAAAAAATAATTTGATGATTGATGGATTGCGAAATTTCCGTGGTAAAAGATGCCACCAAAATTTTGGAGATATTATTTACAATTAGATTTGTTCGAGAAAAAAAAATTTTTTTTTTTAAAAAAAAAAAAAAGAAAAAAAAGAGGGAAAGGGCATTTTAAAGATTTTTGAGCTCTACAAAAAAAATATGTGTTAAATAGAAAATTCTTTCGTCATTTCTGGCACCGTACACAACAGTTGATTCTCTAATTTCTTTAATTTAAAATTCATTTTTGCTGAAGGCCCAAAGAATAGATGGTGTGGCTACAATATATTAATTGTGGCTTGGTAAATAATTTATATATATTTACAATACTAACGGCGTATTTGATATTGGCGCTGTTAGGCTAATCGGAAGGGGGGATATTACCGTATTTTATTTTATATAGCCGTATCGTTGGTATTACTCATCTTTACGTCAGGATCGTATGAAAATAACAATTAAATATGTTCATTTATGTTCTTGTTCTAAATTTTTGTTATAATTATGACACATCTCTACAATAACAAGGAGCGATGCTAATCCCGGATTATTTTTATTATCGTAGTTATTATATTTTAGTATTATTATTATTATTATTACAAAATTACAAAACCATGCGAAAATAGAAATAATATAAAATGGTCACAATGCAATATTCATTGTTTTCTCTCTATATTTGATTTATGAAAAGTTCTGGAATTTTAATAAATCAATAAATCGGAATTGATTCCGATAAAGAATATTAAAGGAAAAAATATAATCAGCGAACATATTGCCAATTTTCATTATATTTTTAAATTAAAAAAACCAGGATAAATACAGGATTTCCGCATTGGAAACATTTTGTACGAATAGAACCTCCTTGAACAGGTGTTATTCAGAAAAATAATATGAATTTTTTTTTTGACAGATAAGATTAACGGAAATGGTTATCAAAAGGAATACCGAGAATTCGTGTAGAATAAAAAGAATATTCTCTGGTAAGTTTCTTTATAGAATTGTTGATAAACAAACATTTCATTTTTTTTCTAAGTTTGAGTAACATTAATTTCTCTATATTTAGATTTCTAATAGATTACGTCTTTTAAGAATGGAAGAACTTAAAGTTCTGTTTCACGTCACGATTTGACCTTCTATTCGGAAACAATGACTAATTTAAATGTTTTTACCCGGTTATCGTTATAAATGATCGTTCATTTACATTTCACAAAACTAAAGTTGTTATAACGAAATGCAATAATTTTTGTACTTTACCAGGTTCTTATCAAAATAGCTTAAATTACATTTTTATGAACAACAATGTCATTCTTTCCTATTTATAGGATGGTATGTTTTCGGAGTTTCGGACTTCGGGAATAAGTTTCTCGCATGATGATCAGTCCTATGTCACATGGTAATTAATCTAATCATGCCACGTGATAAAATTTCGTAAATCTCGTCTTATATCTTAAACAAGACGAAAACGTTTAGACGTCTAGTGGATAGTGATACACGGTCTAAAGTTCTTTTTGATTATTGTAATCAGCAACCATTTTTATGAAGATAATTTATGAATTGGTATCACTTCTAAAACTATAAATATGACATTTTGGCTTTTTTTTATTATTTATTTTAATATTTTTTTCTTTTTTTCTTTGTGAATACATAATGTCTTCATTTATAAATATTAATGGTCAAATACGTCGTCAAAGAAATTTTAATAGAAGACGACGAATTCAAAGACATTTACCAATCAATAATGATTACATATTGAATCGAATCACAGTTTTACCTCCACAAATCATAAATGATCCATTTACTACACAAATTTTTAATGGACTATCTTCTTTTTATTAAGATGTGAGAAATCAATCGTCGTGACTTGTGTTTTGTGCCACACAAATCTCGTGATGTACAAATATTATCCGGTTCATCTCAATGGGAAAATCTTTTACATAAAAGAAAGGAATTGCTATTTTGACGTTCGTCATACTAGCGTTAGACTACTTTTGGTCGCTTGCATTATTTTATTGGTTTATTTTTCATCTTTTATTTCTTCATTTGAAGATTTAATAAGGATTCAAAAAATAATTTTCCTATAAATTAAATTTATTACACTTACTATACTTTCAATACGAAGTCATCTCTTTATTTGACTTTTAGTTATGGAAAACCCAGACAATGCTTGGAACGATATAATCGGAAATGGTGGTTCGAAAAAGAACGATACGATCGACTCAGTGATTGACGCTTTTAATAGTGTTATCTCCACTAACTCTGATGCGATCCTAGGCTCTGGTTGGAATACGTCTAATAAGAAAAATGTTGAACTTAAGACAAAAGGCAGTGAGGTCGCTTCAAAATCGTCCTGGGGAGGATCTTTTAGTACCACCAGTAATCAAGATGAGAGTGAAAATTCATGGAATTCTTGGGGTAATGGTAGTAGTTCTTGGGATAATAATAATAATAATAGTGGTGGTTGGGGAAATGATGATAATCAAAATTATCCTACTAATAATATTAATTCTGGGTACACGGATGATAGAAGAAATTACCAAGATGTAAATAAAACAAATTCATATACGGATAATAATAATAGATATTATGAATCTACAGATGCGAATCAAGTTAATAATGATGACATGCACATGAACAATAATAATAATTTTAGCAAAACTCATAAGGAGTATGACAATCAAACTCATGGACAACAACAACATTCAAATTATGAAGCTCAGGAAAGTCCTTCACCGTCAGAATCTGAAACATCAACGGATCAGAATTCCGAAACAATCAGTCCAGATGATATAAAAATGAAATTATCAGCATGGCATAGTCTTGCTGATCCAAATACAAAAGAACGAGGCGATGGTTTAGGTGGAGGTCAATTGCATCGTCGCGGTAAAAATTATATTCCTGTGGATGAGAGAACCGTTTTAGCTATACAACAAAAAGGTGGTGGCCATAGGAGACCAAGTAGGGGGGTCTCGGGAAAGCCTATACCAAAAACCAAAGTTTTTACAAAACCACCCATAAAATCGGCCATGGCAACAAAACCAATTAATAATGTTCCAACACAAAAACCACCTGCTACTCAGAAAATTCTTAATGCAACTGTCCCAGTTAAGGTGGCAGCTCCTCAAAATCAAAAACAAAATACACAACCAACACCTCCGAATCGAGCGCAACAGCAAACCCAACAAACATCAAAAAAACCATCTCCACCACCTTCACAATCTTCACAACGTCAACCTTTACGGGATGTTGTTCCACAACCTTCTCGAGATACTTCTCGAGATGTTTCGCAACCTTCTCGAGATGTCTCACAACCTTCTCGGGATACTTCACGACCTTTACGGAATCCTTCACCATCTTCACGACCTCAGCGTTCTCAACAGCTTCAGCAGCCTCAGCTGTCTCAGCAAACCCAGCAACCTCAAAAACAAAATTCATGGTCTCCGCAATTGGTTAATACGCCTTTTTGGGAATCTTCAAGTCCTCCACCTAGTCCTCCACCTATTCAACATCCTTCGCCAAGACAATATGCAAATGAGGCGATTTCAAATAAATCCCAACCTATTCGACATCAGTCACCTGCTCGTTCTCCACGACCAGCAAAACCTGTACAAGATTATACCTTGCCGTATATTCCCCCAGAGTTTGATTCGACTCCATACCGAAAGCAACCATCTCCTTCACCTGTTCGTGATAAACCACATATATATAATGACCCAGATTGGAAAGGTAATAAATATTATGAACAGGGTAATAATGTCGAAAATCAACGGAATGAATATTATGATGATTATGATGAAAATGGTTTCGAAGGACAACAGAATAAATCCGGTCACATATCAAGATATAATGAACCAGAGAAGGAGCAAGCATCACGCGTTGATCGCTATGATCGTGGTGAACTACTTCTTACTATAAATGTCGAACTTTCAGAAGGTAAAACACAGGCCATCGAAGTTCATGTACATGATGATCCAATGGATTTAGCAAAAGACTTTTGTGACTTATGGAAGGTTACAAATCCTGTGGTAATGCCTGCTTTAGAATGCTTAATTAAAGAGGAGAAAGAAAAGCGATTAGGTATTAGTTAAATAATAATTAATCAAAAACTTTTTTAAAGCAAGCTTATCTGTTTGCGATGTTTTAAAGAATATAGTGGTAGCTCCATGTATTTCTGCTGCGAATTAGACAAATACATCAATAAATACAAATAATACTAATAAAATAGAAAATATTACTATTTATGTTCTATTTCTTTTGTTTACTTTTTATAGCGTGATATTGCAACAAAGGTCAATTTTAAGCTAACATCACACAATCACACACAGCCTTAACTTCTTTCAAATTTAGTAACAATGACAGTTAGTCAGGTTATTCTGCATACTAATATATCACTTGATGAAATGTACTGTCAAATGTTTAATTGCTATATAAAGGAACAAAAAATTTTAACATTGTTACTTAGGTCACGTATTGAGTATTTTGATTTGTCATTTCAAGTTTTTGTCAAATATATATGACGCTCAATAGTCACTTAAAATATAGGGGTGATAGATTTGTCAGTTTATAAGATAAAAAAATTTTTATCTAAAAAATAATTCATTCTTTTTTACTACCTTTTTATTTTTTTTTTTTTAATAATCTCAATAAGAAAAAAAAACTTTTTTTATAAAGACACTATATTGTAGTCTAGTTGTAAACTTTGTAACTTAGGCCCGTTGATAAAGCTTAAAATGTCAGATTCTGAATTTCGACCAAATATGGTCGGATCTAATAGAAACAAGAATGTTTATAATTTAAGTATAGCCTTAGCCCCACACTTAGGTATACCAACGGACGTCATTGAACAAGCTTTAATAAAAGCAATAGAGCAAAATAGTGCAGATATTTTCAATGCTCTCCCTTCCCCGTTACATAATGGCATACAAGAAACAAAACCTGTTGACGAACTAAGCCAAAGTACAGCACTTATTTCTCCCCGTTTTAATCAACCATCACTTCTTGATATAGATTCAAAAAATCATATAACTCAAGAATCTTCTCCGCTATACAAAAAAAATCGTAAAGGTATATTATGTTTTAAAAATGATCAATAAAATTCAAATTTAGTAAATTTATTAAACAACGTTTTTGCATTTTTTTTTTGCCTTACAAACTTTTAGATTCTTTATCATCCCTTATTGAAATAACACAAAGCGGATCAACGTCTATTAATATTAAATTGCCTAGCCTACACGTTCCGCCCCCAACAGTTCAAGGAGAAATGACGAATGGTCAAAGCAGTCCTCAATCGTCAGGTCCAATTGATGAAAATTTAAATAGACCTCAGTACTATGATGATCAGAACATTTATAATGGATCAAACAATGAGAATTTGATTCAAAGTCAAGAATATAATCCACCATCACAGAGAGTTAACCATGAAGTTCAAAACCAACAGAACGATTCTAAATTTGATGCTTTTAAAGAATATATTGGTCCACAACAAAGAGAACAAGATGAATATAAGTCATATAACCATAATCAACAAATTGAACATGATGTTTCTATTCAAAGACAACGAAGTGACTTGCAAGTTAACCGTTTTCAAGATACGTATGATTCATTTACGCCTGGTGGTAAGAATCGACAAAATAAATTTGCTGCTGATTTTCCCGAAGAATATAGTCAGCCACAACGGAGAGAATCTCAAGCAAATCAAGTTCCGGATCCATATAATAAAACATTTTCACAAGTAGTTAGTCCAATAAAAAACAACCCTTCGGAAACATACTTATCCGAATTTCCTTCTCTTTCGGAATCTTCCAAAATGAGTGACTCAAGGAAGAATTCTGGAGTAGACCTTGGGGCTTGGGGCCAAATGGATGTAAATTTTGCTTCTGCTTGGGGTGGTAAACCTAAAAAATGGGTATCAGAAACAGAAACAAATACATTTGAACCTCCCGCTACTACTTCTACTTGGAATCCTGATAATGAAGATCTTACATGGAAACCTATTCAGGAACCAAAACCGCCCATTAATAAAAAGAAACCCGCAAAATTTGAACTTGACGATTCTGATGGATGGGGTACTCCTCCAACGAATACTATTCCATGGAACGATATGAGGCAAGGATATTGTGTCGACCTTATAGAAGAGCAAAAAGAAACGATATTTTGGTCTAAGCAAAATGGTAGTTGGGTCAATGTAAGTGAGGAATATTCAAAGACGGTAAAAATTAAATCCGATGGTATTAATCAAGTACGCTATGAACGCCAAGGGACTCTTAATGTGGATAATGGAGCTACATGGGATGATCTTCGTGAAAACACAAGACGTGAACGTGAGATGGAACGTGGTTTAATTAATGGAAATACAACCGATGATATAATAGTTGAACTTACAGATCATTCAAATGACAATAGTGATGGTTCGGAAGTTGAAAATTATCGGTCAAGCTCCGATACCACAACAGGACCTGTACCTATAGTTTCAGAAGGTTCTAGAGAACGCTTAGGTAATCCTCAATGGAAAACTGAAGAAGAATGGCGGCACGATTCTCAACCTCAACAATTTAAGCAGGAAGTAGAGTGCGGTGACCTTATTAACCTTGAATTACCCGAATCGAAAGAGTTAAAAGAAACTTTAACAGTTGTAAGCGATAGAGAGGTTGACGAACCCAATGAAGAAATATCCGGTTGGGATAAATGGAAAGATAATTCTGAAGAAATTGCAGAGTTTAAGGATGATGCATGGTTTACTGATGATATGCCGAAACAACGAGATGATACTTCCAACCAAGATCTATTAATTAATATTGATTCGAATAATGATAATGAAGTTGCAGAATCAACAATAATTAACACCCATCCTCCGATCTTTTATGGTAGAATCAATAATGAAATGGCAAAAGATCTAAATGATATATTTGATTCTACAAATTCTGTCAACACGGCCGATATGGCCAAGATGACCAATGTGGATATTGTAAACAATGAATTGAATGATGAATTAAGTTTATTGACATTTGACGATGATGAGAATAAAATATCAAAATCATCAGCTGGCCAGGAAGATATTAATAAAGATAATAAAAACAATCAATATAACTTTGATGTTTTAGAAGATTTTCTTAAGAACAACAACTATAAACCTCCTGATGCAATCATTAAAGATTCGAACGAGTCGCAGGAAAAAGTGCCAGTTCTTCCCTATGTCTTTAGTATTAATGATAAAGAAAATGCACCTATTTCACATTATACGACACCATTAACAGTGTCTGATAATTTCAGTTCATTTGCGCCACCATCTAGATCTTACCGTTGCGAGAATTCGTCACAAGTAAATGTCGAATCTATGAGTTCTTCATCCGCGATTGATAATAACGACAAAAAATTAGAGCATAATGATTATAGGCAAGATCTAGATCAAAACGATCAAATACTTGATCAATATAAAGCTTCCGTCAACGAAAGTCAAATACTTGATCAATATAAAGATTCCGTCAACGAAAGTCAAATACTTGATCAATATAAAGATTCCGTCAACGAACCTCAAGGTGCAGCAGATCCAAATGAACCTAACTCGAATTCCACAAAAACGGCACCTAACGATAAAGACTTTATTATTAATCTTACCGTTGAAACTCCATCAAATGGAAGACAAATATTACGTCTACGTTATGTAAGTTTTAATAATAATTTATTTAAAGTTCGTGTTCCTGTAAATTTATAACTTAATGCAATCATTGTAATCAAAAAAAAGGACGACGATCCTCAAGTTGCGGCGACCGAGTTTTGTAAAAAGTGGAACATGTTTCATTTTGAAGATGCATTGAAAGGCTTTGTTCAGAAAGAACAAAAGAGACGGCTTCGTAAACGAAGAACAAAATGTAAAAAATAAGCTAAAAAGGCTAAATGTAAGTTAATGATGTTTTTTTCTATAAATTTTACTTAATATGTTAATTTAATTTTTTTTTGTCTATAGAAAAAAATTTTTTTTTTTTTTATTACCTTATTCTCTTGTAAATTGCAAATATTTTTATGTAAAATAATAAATTTTATTCAAACAAAATAAATTCAATAGTGATATAAAGATTATTAAGATTATTGTATTTATCTATATTATAGATAATGAATTTATTTATAAATTCATTTTTTTATGGTCTTCAGTAGATGAAGACCTTGCAATAGCACTTGAACTTTTTTTCTTAAAAGCTTTACTCCAATCAGCACTCCACAATTGTATGAATAATTGTAAATTTAGAACATTCATGGCGACCATACCCAAGAATGCAATTCTCCAATAAGCAATATGACCAAAAAGCATATATTCCCTCCAAACCCTTAAAACAAGATAACCATGAACGGTAAATCTTACAAAAACGAAAGTTAAGAAAAGTAATAAAGAATTAAATTGATAAAAAGGAGTGAATTTTGTCTTGAAGGAAATAAGATAAAGTTTCCTTTGATGAAGGAAAACATTACTTATTTCAACAAGTAATGTTGCAGCTAAATAAGGTGAATATTTACAAGTTACAACTGACAAAACAAATGTTGTAATGACCACAATATGATGGAGCCATATCCCAGGAGAATCCATAAAAATATTCTTTATCCAAAAGTCAAACAAATCAGCAAAGAAATAACCTATATTATATAATTTAAATTAGTTTAATTAGTATAGAAATTAATACAAAATTGTGTGTATTGACTATTTCTTACCGATTGAAAGAGCAATTTGAAATCTGCATAATGCTACATCCGCGTATATCATATCATGCCACGCGTTAGGATAATAATAAAAACTACCAAAGTAAAAAAAAAATATAATAATTGATAATGATGGGATTATGAAATAAATGGTAATTACCATATCGGGGTTATAACCGAACAAATCCAAGCGTGAATATAACTAACAAACGTGTTATTCCATACCGCTTTCTTCCTTTTATCTAGTTTATTGTAAAATACCTATATTATTCAAAAAGCAAAAGTAATTAAACAAAACCATTAGTAATTGCAGTCAATCGAATTTAATTGAGAAAGAAATCAATTTCAAAATATCACCTACTGTTATAGGAGCAACACAAATTGAAGATACGTAATTTAGTAGCGTGAATCCTACAAAAGAATAACAAATAATTTTTATTGAGACATTCGTGTCATTCGTGCAATTTTCCATTACTATTTGATAAGTTTCCACTGTTTGACACGTTTATAAAGAGACAAAATAAAGAATGAACGAAGTTTTTAAAATTACAAATTAAAATGAAACCTGACAAGTTTTAAATGAGTGTTGTTCTTCAAATGCGATAGGTAAAAAAAAATAAGTATAATTAATGCACTTGCACTAATTAATGCATAGTTGGTTTCACAAAATTTTTTTTTTGGCAAACAGAGTTTTTATCAATCAAATAATCAAATACAATACTATTCGTCTATTAAATTTTCAAAACTATGAACGATTTGAATAACATGCCAGATGCGGACGACGTAGAAGAGGAGGAAATGGCAGATATTGTTGACGATGAAGAAAATTCATACTCTCAAAGAAGAGGAGAGAGAAAAATTATAAAAAGTGAATTCAAACACGAAGGTAAACTCGCGTCTTGTAAAGCATTTTTACGTGATAATGTTTTAACTTTTGCGATTAATTATAAAAAGAATTACGAGAAATTGGTTCTTCAGCGATTTGGTCACTATCAAGCTGGAAACATGGTAATGGTGTAGATAAATTGCGTGATGATAATTTTTTGACATATTGGCAGTAAGTTTAAATTTTTATCTTTTGATTATTTAATATTTTGATTAAAACAGGATAATATATTTAGATCGGACGGTACTTTACCCCACCTTGTCAATATCCAATTTCCACAGAAAGTCAATGTTGTGGTATGAATTAGGAAATATTTATCACCATTGGGAAATTACATAATATTTAATACTTCTTGTAATATATAGCAAATATCACTTTGGCTTAATTACAAAAGTGATGAAAGTTATACACCAAACAAAATAACAATTAGGGCTGGAACTCATAATGGAGATCTTCAGGTAAAATAACCTTGTCTGAATTTACATCATTAAAATTTTATTGGAAAATATTTTATTAGGATTTAAGGACTGTTGAACTTGACGAGCCGCTTAGATGGGTCGATATACAGCTCAGTGGAGACGAAATATTGAGGTATCAAAAAAAAAATTTTTTAAATTGGTTATTCATACGTTTCAAATAATTGTTATTTAATTACGTAGTAAAACAAGTCGTCCAGTGGGTGCACACCTTTTTCAAATAGCAATTAAAGCAAATCATCAAAACGGGAAAGATACACATATACGGCAGATTAAGGTGTTTGCTCCAAAACTGTATGTGTTTGTTTACCTTTTCTATTTCGGCTATACTTGATCAAAATCTCACTTTATCAATTATCATTAGTCCGCTCTTCTATGAAGACTATTCTGATGATGATATCCCGTTTAAAACAGTCGAATTTGCAATGCATGAAACTATACGATGAAAATTTTATAGACAATAGAGTAAATTTAATATTTAATCTTTTTATACTACTCTTAATATATATACCTTATAATAATAGTTACACTGGATGTACCACATTTGTACACATTGAATAAATAAACCAATTCTAATTCAAATTATATAAACTTAGGCTATTAATTAGTTTATTTATTTTTGGTTCAAGGCACTTTAATGAAGTCTAAAATTGATTTTATTAGAGATGTCGTCATTATTAAATGAACCATATATTAAACAAGTCTTCTGTTGACCAGGCATCAAAGTCTGATGTTCTTGGACAGATACGGGACTGACATTTTTCTGATCGTTTCGTAATAAATAAAGTAGGAATGATAATTATTTTAGAAATTAACAAATAGAAAATGTTAGATTTTTTTCATTTTACGTCATTATTCTCCTTATTTTACAATTTGAATGGTTAATTCTCCACTTCCATCAAATAATGGACTTAATCGAGAATAAACATTCGCTAAAACAGCCTGTTCATTAGCATCAGGATTAACCTGTACACATATTGTACCAACTAATTGTCCGTACGAATTTTCCCAAAAATGTGTTGCTGTCAACGATAATATTGTTGGATCAAGTTGGATCTAATTTTAAGAATTAATCAATAATTAGACTTTTTTCACTTATATCATTCGAAATTCCTTATAAATACCTCTCGTAAACGATCTTCTAAACTAATTAGTATTACATCCGGTGTTGTCTGTAACAAAATTTTACCTAACGCAGTTGAAACGGGTATTGCAAGATAAAACATTAATATCGATTCCAATATCGATACCAATTTATCTAGCCATCCCAAAGAATGACTATAAACGTTGATAAGAGTTTGAGAGATCGAGTTAATAAAATTTTAACATAATTCTCATATATATAATTTCCTCACTTTTGTTCCGTAATGACTCCAACTAAGATAACACTAGAACCACACAATAAAGTTGATAACGTAAATAAATTTGTAAGCACTATTGTGAATCCATCATTAAATTGCCAATAATTTAACGGACGTGTTCCTATGACTGATGATGCCGACCGTAATACTGTGAACGAAAATGGTATCGTGAATCAAAGTAAACTTATATATATGATATAAAATTATAAGTACACTACATGCAGAAAATCTTATATGGTTACGATAGTAGATAGCCGAAATTAATGTTGCTCCTAAAGCCAACAAAACCCAACCCATTGGAAAATCTGGACTAAATATGATATATTGATTAGAATAAGATACACAAATAAAGTTAATAAGGAATAAAGAGTTACCTGTGACCTTCAACATGTTCCTCGCTGGTTTCTAACATGAAATGTTCCAATCCTTCTTTCAACATATATAAAGCAACAAACAAGAGATATAACGCGTTTATAAATCCAAATAATATTTCGTACCGCTGAACTCTTAAAACATAAACAAAAAGTTAAAGGTTTGAATTATAATATAACATATTTTAAGATAGAAGAGTGATTACCCAAAAGGGTTTCGTATAGTAGATTCTCTTAACGGTCGATATGTCGCTATAACAGACGAAATGAAAGTTGTAAACACGCCCAAAGCATCGAATATTACAAGATAAGCAAACCCAGTAAGTGCTAATAATAAAATATAAATTAATAATCAGCCTATATTTGTCAATTGAAATGAAAAATATACAAAAAGTTACCTAATCCGCAACCCCATTGACCTTTTAGCCACAAAAAAATTCCCATAAATAGATGTATTGTTCCCCAAGCAAATAAAGTCTTTTGTGAAGAAGGCAATGACGAAAAAATATATGATAAATTCGGTAAATGTCTAATATTATCATTATGATAATATGATCCATCCTCGTAATAGTTTTCGTGTATGATATGCCCATTTTTTTCTTCCTCGATATCATGAAAATGGTTTTCGTGAAGATCACGATGGTCATGATTGTTTTCGTCACTATATTCGTAAAAATTAGAGCTTTCACCAAGGTCAGCACTATCATCAACTAAGTCTGGTATAGCTTGAAAAGATAAACTTGACAAAGTTCGTCGCTTTATTTCGTATGAATGATTCTATCTTATTATAGTTAAATATATAAATAGAATTTTTTTATAAACATATATTGTTCTGTAAGTTGGTGGTGAAGCAGCAGTGTGATAGGGAATACATATTATTATACCTTACTTCAGGTGAAGGAGAAGCAGATCGTCTAATACATGACGAAACAGGTTCCACTAATCGTGGAGATTCTGGTCGAAATGTTTGAGATGTTTCAGTATGATCATTTAATCGTGGATGTTCCATTTCGTATTGAGTTGAAATACGCAAAATACGCCAGGAAATTTTTTTGTTGTAATGCATTTCACGCTTTCACGTGCACAAATATTTATTAGAGTTAGTATTGTTGCATGTTCATCAGAACTATATCCACTGAAATTATTTCGAATGTCTTCCAACAAAAAAAAATCTAAATGTAAAAATTGTGCAAAATATGATACTAACAACACATGGTGGTGTAAGCCTTGTAATGCTGAACGTTTTCGAGAAGACTTTTCAAAATGGACAAGTGGAAATGAGTTTGTTGATAAATTCATACAAAATGCACAATTAAGTGCTCGAAATAGAGAAGAAGTAATAGAATGGATACCATATGAAAAATTTCAAAATGTTGAATATATTGCTCAGGGAGGATTTAGTAAAATTTTTAAAGCAGATTGGCCTAAAGGAAGAATTATTTGTTCTGGTATTAAAACTACAAAATGGTGGAGAGAGGATAGAACTATTCAGGTCGCTTTGAAAAGTATAAACGATTCCAGAAATATTATAAAAGAATTTTTGGAAGAGGTAGATATTTCCTTATTGTATTTTTGTAACTATTGTTAACTTTATACATATATATAACTTACGTTTACGGCTTTTATGATTTTTACGCGAAGTTACAAAATCATCTTAAATATCTCCATTACTTCTCGGATGAAACCTCTCAACATAAAGCTAGTAGGCTTTTAATCCATGGAATAACTCGAGAACCTTCAACAAATAATTTTACGTTGGTAACAGATTATATGGTCAGAGGTTCTCTTCGTACTCGCTTACAAAACCCCGATCTACCACAATTTGAATGGTCTTCTGTCTTATTAAGTTTACGTGATTTATCGATATGTCTCTCATTAATGCATGAAGCTGGATTAATTCATAGAGATATACATTCCGGTAACATATTGTGTGGATTTGTTGACCTTCCTTATCTAGCAGATTTTGGATTATCACGTAATCTAAGCTATGGAAATGAGGAAAAAATATTTGGTATATTACCTTATGTTGCACCCGAAGTATTAAATAAACAACCTTATACACAAGCTGCAGATATTTATAGTTTTGGAATGATACTATGGGAATATTTATCGCACGCTCCTCCATTTAGTGACAGAGCTCATGACTTAAAATTATGCTTAGATATTCAAAATGGATTGAGGCCAAAAATTTTATCTGGTACACCAACGATTTATGCAAATTTAATGAAACAATGTTGGGATGCAAATCCTGAAAAAAGGCCGACAGCTCAACAAGTCAGAGAAATTATTTTTGAGTGGCATACGGCTTATGTTCTTTATAGATCTGACAAACCTCTTACAAAAGAACAAGAGGAATTTGGAAAAATTTTTGCTGCCGCTGAAGAGTATAGACTTAACATTGGACATGGAGGTGCTGGGAAGGGTCAAATTGTAGGATTTGCCAAACATCCTGAAGCTTGGACAGTAAGCAGATTGTTAGATTTTTCTTTCCTTGAAAAAAATCCACAAAAACCAGAATTAGAAATTGTAGATGAAGAAAAGGAGATATTAGACAAAACAGGTAAAAAAACGAGTACCGTTATATTATATTACTTTACGACGAACCAGGCTAATGTGTTCAAGATTTTCTTAAAATTAGGTTATTTAATTACATATAGAAGCACTCAACTACTTGAAATTCCTGATGAAGATTAATTTAATAACGATTTTCCATTGTTAGTAGTAAAATTTAATTTATAGAAGTGATTGAATTCTTTGGATTGAATAAACAAAAATTAATTTGTGATTCATTCATTAATTGTACAAATTAAGAATTGGTTGGTCATGTTCTTACTAATTATGTTCTAAACTTGGATACGAATCAGATATATTTTATAGCCTTTAAATAAATTATTTACGACTATAAACATTATAAATTTTTTAAATTTTATGTATGATTCACAATGATTACAATGATTAAATTTATTGTTTTTGATGTCGAAAGTTTCATTTTTGTAGTTGATTTGAATTTGAATTTGGAAATTTGTTTGATGAATATTTGTTAAGTGATTTTTTATCTTACAACTAATTAAAATCTCTTTTAACTATAAATCTTTAGAGACTCCGAACCCTAATGGCTGTCTCTTATACACATCTAGATGTGTATAAGAGACAGCTATAAATCTTTAGAGACTCCGAACCCTAATGGAATCACAAATAATGATGAATGATTTATCCCAAGACAGTAAAAAAAAAAAAAAAAACAAATAACGAGAACTAGAAAATGTACATTTAATATGGTTTATGGTTGTTATGAAAATAAAAACCTAACTATCTAATTAACGTTCTTTCATTTCACTCTCCCATTTATATCCTCACGGGTATAACCCTTGGTTCAATCAAAGAAATAATTTTTTTTTCTTGTTCTTAATTCTCATCAGCCCAAGAAGTATTACCATCAGTAACCCTCCTCCAAATAACTTTTAATTCTCTTCTCGTTAAACCAAATTCTTCGTTACACTTTAGTAAAAAACATTTATCAACACCTAAACAACCGACTAAATCCAATAATTTAAGACCTTCACAAGCTTCAATAACGGCTTTCACACCCTCTTCGCTTACACCACGACAATAACTTACTCTTAATTCTCTTAATTTTAAACAATATTGTGAAATTGAGTACATTGATCTATCACTTACTTTTTCACAATTTGTTAAATCAAGTGTACGTAATCTATCACCACATATTGTCGCAATTTTGTTAATTGATGCATCAGATAATGAAGTATTCCATGCAAGTGAAAGATTTTGTATTCTACTACAATTTGGTATAATAGATGATAAACATGTGTCAGACCTACTTCCACCTGCAAGATTCAATGTACGTACATTATTAAAAAATGGTGATAATAATTTAGTTAAATAATTATTAGTGATGCCTTTAACAAAACTTAAATTAAGTGTATGAAGATTTTCTATATGAATTAATGGTAATAAGCGAAGGAGATGAGATGAAAGAGATGAATTATTACGATCATGTTCTGTTAAATATGTTAAATCCAATGTACGAATATAAGTTGCATAAGGATGATATACGGTTGATTGTTGTTGAAAATTTGATGATGAAGGAGAATTTTCTATGATTTTAATGAATTTATCCAGTGAACGCATATGAGTAAATTTTGGGGAATTCCAAAGAACATTTGTTCCTATGGCATTCCATTGATGATTAACCAGAATGCAAGAGAAAAGTGATGGTTGATATAAAGTACGTAATATTTCAAAAATATGATATATTATTTCAGGAGGACATCGAGCACATGGAGGTATAGAACTATTAACAATTTTCATAGGTGAATGAGAAATATTTTTTCTAATATAATTTGAATCATCATCATCTATAAAATTATGATCATTCGTAATTATAGTTATAGTAGCAACGTTATTACTACTTATTTCTTTATAAGTTGGAGTAGGAGAACGTGAAGTTGGTAAAGGTGTAAGATAAGGTATCTCAATTGGATTAGGTGAGGGAGGACGTGAAGATGGAGGTGAAGATAAAGGTGTTTGTAATTGAGATGGTGCTTCTAATGATGATGTCAGATGTGATGACTTTGGTGTAAGTAGCGGTGAACTAGGTGGTGATTGAAATAACTATCGAAAAAAAAGAACAATAATAATTGTATCTCACGTGAAAATTCGAAATCTGTTGATAGTGTTTATTAGCCACAAAAATAATCTTTTATTTTACCTCAATATCGTCTTTTGCAGTTGTGCCCGTTTGTCGTCGTTTAGAACCTTTCTTCCTCTCCATTCTATCCTCTGGAATCAATCTCTTTTCTCCGTTTGCCATTTGTTGTTCCAGCTTTGAAAATTTATTTATTAATAGTCTCGTTCTTTGGGATGGAAAAAAAAAAATAGAAAAATAAAGATCTACAATAATAGTAAAAGAAATAACACTATAAAAAAAATAGTTTTTGAGTTTGAAACTAAGTTCTAAATCTTTGAATCTAACTAATTAGTCACTAAAAATTTGGTTTAACGACGACCTAAAGGCAACAACTAAATAAAAAAAAAAAAAGTTTTTAGAAGAAATGAATTATTTCAACGTTAATACTATGTTAATAGATTACAATATATCAAAGTTGCCGTGTCCCACCCGAAAGTATCTAACCCTTTTGACAAAGGGGAACCACCGAAGGACCCGCAACAGAAAATAATGAAATTATGAAAATGAAAAAAAAAATTAAGAATGAAAAAAAGAAAGAAATGAAAAAAGAAAGAAATGAAAAAAAAAAGAAAAGCTATATAAGATATTTAATAAAGGTGTACTCGAAATAATATAATAGAAAAGGAATTGAACAATTAAATTGTAAACTTCAAAACAAAACAAAATCAAAAAAGATTGGGTAAACGAAAAGAAGCACAATGATAAACACCGACAAAAAAAGAACAAAGTTTGGATACTATCAAGTATATAGGAAACACAACAGTGGTTAGGATTTACTTTGGGTGCTGCTTAGTGGTGTTCATATCAGTTTTTTATGCAACCATCAAATTACACGATGAGACGCCAAGGAGGTTGCATTTTTTGGCTACACGAAATGAACTGATTTTTCTCTCTCTCTGTAATTTTTGGACCCGATTTTAGCAATTAAAGATGACGTACGTGGTGGAATGTTCATTAAAATTCCAAAGTCATTAGACCAAAACCCAAAAAAAGGAATCCAAAAGGGCACATATGATTGAGATCGTGTTACCAATTACAGAATAATGGCTGAGACAGTTGAAGCATACAGGTGTAGACGTGTAGTATGAAATCAGAAAAATCGTTCGAGACACAGAATCAATTAAGAATAAATGTACTAGTTTACGCTTCAACCCGTATTTTTCTTTAAAGCTAATTTTATTTTTATTGTAAAATGACTGGTTTGAAATCAAGTTAATTTGTGATAAGAAATATGATTTGTTAAACCTTCGTCATATACGGATATACCTTTTATCTCACGTGTTAGATCAAAACTTATTGGTTACATTTTTTTATTATTCCGACGCTTTGCATTAGGATAATTTAACGCGTAATTAACATTAGAACTCAATCACGGGCAATCCGAAAATCTTTAATATAGACAATGTAGGTATTAAATATATATTTTTTTACCTGCATATTTTTGCTAATTTGTCATTAATGCTGTCTTCACTTTAAACATCAAAACTTAAACTATAATTAGTGTCAATTTTATTTTAAAACTTTGGTAATAATAAAATTAGTAATCATAATTAAATTTAGTTATTTTACCTATTTTTTACATTGTCTCAAATATCGACCAATCATTGGAAAGGAATAAACTTCACGTCAACTTCCCATTACAATTCCTTAATTGGTCTTAAAATCAAAAATCAAAAATGCGATAAACGAAAATGGCACTAATATGTGTAATAATTAATTAATTAATTAATTATTGAAAAGTTTAGCCAATATAATCACATTACTATTAGTGATTTTACGGGGAAAATTTTTTCTTATTTCTTTCTCCATAATTTGTATCCATTATTTGTTCCACATGTTATACGACCCTCGCGGCGAATCTTTCTCCCATGTTATAAGACTCTCGCGGCGAATCCTTTGTTTTTTTTTCTCTCATGTTCTTCTTTTATGTTCTTCTTCTTTCATATTCCTTCTTCCTTCTATGTTTCTTCAATATTTTGTAGTCTTAATAACTAGTTTATATTTTAAATAATTCAATTCAAATGCAAATTTTTTACTATTGGTGTTCTTAAATGTTCTTGTTTCCCCAATAAAAAAGCATAACATATTTTCATAAAACGTTAAGTTGCATATAAAGCTAATAAATATTTTTTTTCTATATTTTAGTCCATATCTTTTAAGGGAATTTTGCTTCTTTGCAATTTTTTAAAAATACAATAGCGCTTTAATCTTTTTTTTTCTTAATTCTGGTAATTATCAGGTTATGAGTTTTTAAAATAAGTTAGCTTAAGATAAATTTTTGATCTTTTGAGATAATGCCAAAGTTGAATCATTGCATTTGTTTGCAGCGCGGGGAAATCTGGTTAATTGCAATATTAAATATTATACTCATTTTCTTAATTAGGAAACGCGTGTAATATTTTTCAATATTACATAATATTTTTAGTTTATGATTGAAAGATTTACACTTCACACAAGTTCACGCAACATGCCAAGTACTTGTTTTTTTAATGACAAACAACCTTTAAACTCCCACTCTTTTTTTTTTTGTTAACCTATTTTTACCTATAAATAATTTTTTTTACCCCTCGCTTATCAGTAAACAAACTCCACGAAATGTGGTGGTTTTATAATAGTTCTCCTGAACCTCAAGCCTCAAGGACGTCAGCCGATGAAGAAGCATTAGCCGATTATATATACTCTAAAGTTATTTATCAAGCTGGTATAATTAAACTTTTTACTTTCATAAATACTATATGTGTATATGTATATATATATGTGTATGTGTATATATATATACATATATATATCTCCTCTCTTTACTAAAATTATTTTATTTTCTTCTTTCTTTCTCTCTCTTTTTTATTATTATTATTATTATTTTCTATTTCGCATGAAGGCGTTGATTTTGAAAGTAAACCCATGGTTATAATTTGTGCAAGCAATCTTCCAGATCCCATAGAAGTCGATTATGATAGAATTTTATCGTAAGTAAAATAATTCTATAAAAATTTCATAATTCTTGTGAATTATTTGTGAATTAATTAAATTTTAAAATTTTTAAATTTATACAGACGAATTTTACTTAAGTTAGACCTTTTTGTTGAGAGCGATTATACAGTTGTTCTCTTTGCGGGCGGAGCAAAACATAACCCTGGTTGGTCTTGGATGCTTAGAGCATATAAAAGTCTCAGTAGAAAGTATATATTAAGTTTACTGTTTTTATGATTTTTATTATTTTTATTTAATCATTAAATAATTTACTAATTTTTAATAGATATAAGAAGAATCTTAAGTCTTTGTACATAGTTCAAGCGACAACATGGGCACGTATATCTTTTGATTTCATGAATGCAATAATCAGGTAATTATTATTAATATTTTATTAATTTGATCTTTTATACATATAACGAGTTAATCAAAATTTTCTTTTAATTTAGTCCAAAATTTGCAAAAAAAATAAGATACATTCATTCCTTATCAGAATTGGCTAATTTTGTTCCGCTTACACAAATTGACATACCACCAGCCGTATACGAGTAAGTTTTTCTTACTGAAACAAAAAACAATAAAAAAAATCTTAACTGATATAATTATTATTTAGACATAATTTGAAATATGAAGACAAAATAACGCTACCATCTTCAGTTAATTACAAAGAGAATAAGCGTTTGATGTTTGGGGTTCCTCTTGAAGTTTTGATGGGGACAGAAGGCGAGAATGGGTTACCAAGAGTAGTCAGAGATTGTGTTACGTACTTAAGGGCAGAGGGTAAATTAGAAATAATTAATTAAATCTTAAATTGACTAAAATTGGCACTAAAATTTAATTTATCTGACAGGTTTGCAAGTTGAAGGAGTATTTCGTAGGTCACCTAGTTCAACGTTATTACGTCAAGCAAAAGAAGCATATGATCGAGGTAATACTTAAGCTGACTTTCTATTACGTAGTCAAATTTTCAAATATACTAATATTTTATCCCTACAGGAAACCCAATTAATTTATCGGATTATGGTGTACACACGGCAGCTGTTCTTCTTAAGATGTTTTTTAACGACCTACCAGTATCTATTTTTCCTATGCAAACATATGATGTATTAAAACAAATACGAGGAAAACAACATTATTTGGGACGCATTGAATTTATACGAAGTAGCATTTTTCCATTATTATCACCGGCTTCGATCATTCTTCTTCAATATGTTTGTTCGCTTCTTAACGAAATTTCAAAATATAAAGATATTAATTTAATGACTGCATATAATCTTGCAGTGATGTTTGCACCTAATTTAGTTCATAGTGGTAACCCAATGCTTGATGTTAGCATGTGTATTTTAAGTAGAAATAATGAAAATTCTGGTGGTGGTGTCGGAATACTCATGAAACTTGCAATAGAACAATTTGATCTGATGTTTGAAGGTTATGAACCAAGAGATTGTGTTAGAGATGTATCAGTAGAAAACGGAACAATATCGATGTCATCTTCAATGAGCGGATCCATTGAATCTTCAGATACACCTATTAGCCCATCAAGTCCATCAAGTCCCCCTAAATATCCATCACTCCGTAAAGTACGTAGTCTTGCTGCTGTTTCAAATTTAATTATAAACGGCAGTGGATTAGACCCTTTTCGTGTTGGAGCGGGTGTAGAAATTAGTGGTGTTAAGGTACAAGGAATGGTAAGTAGAAGTCAGCCAGTTACTCCATATAGCGATATTCCAGGGTCCCCCGCATCAATGTCTTCAATAGAAGAATTACGCAGGGCGATGCCTTGGGCATCTTAAACAAAAAAAAAAAAATTATATATATATTTAAATTCATTAATTATTTAATTATTTGTATTATTAGTAGCAAATCGCATTTTCATGATAATTTAACATTCATAATTTTATTAGCCAAAAAAAATAAATAAATAAGTTGCATATCACATTTAGAAATATCTAAATATTTTCTTTGTTATAATAATGATTATTTTTTATTAATTGAAAATTATCTAAAACCCTTTAAAATTTCTGATATATTATTACTGCATAAATATATATTCTTTTAAGAGTGAATTTATCCTAAGTCATAACGGTATTTATAACCTTTTCTTAAGGTATTAAGTAAATTTGTTGAGCAGGCAAAATTACTTATAAGTTATGACTCTGAAGGATGATCTGCATGACGTCATTTTTATATATTAAATAAATCGACCCGGGTGAGAAAAGCTGGCGAGAAATAAATTTTTTCTTCTTTTAAATTAAATATGACGTATATTAATCAAAGAGCATTGCTAATTGGCACCTTATCAGAATTAGGTAGAATTAAAAATGTCATAAAACTCTTCCCGGTGCAGTGAGAATCACCGGTGAGATAGATTTAGCAATGCCCTTAATTAAATTGCTTTATAGTTTGATAATATTAGCATAATATTTAATTACTGTAAAGTACTAACAATGGTATCCTCTTATATAAAATATCTTTTTTTATATATAATATATATATATAATAATTGTAAAAATCAATTTGTAACTTCCATATAAAGTAAATATTTAGGTATTATAAGAAATACCTGAAGTATTATTATTAGTACTTTACATTAGATTTATACTATTTATAAAATTAAAATAATATAATAAATCTTATTTTAGGGTGAATTTATTGGGTTTCTCACCTCCCCAAGTCATAAATTGTCAAAAATTTCAAAGATGGTATTTATAACCTTTCTTAAGGTATTAAGTAAATTTGTAAAGCAGGCAAATCACCTATAAGTCGTAATTTTGAATGCTATACGAAGCTTATAAAGTTTTTTTTTAAAAAAAAAAAACTTACGTTTTCCTTTTTTGAAAATGACCGGCATGACGTCATTTTTATATATTAAATTCAGGGAAGTGAGAAATCACCAGGGTGGAAATAAATTTTTCATAATTTTAAATATCAATTAAACTAAACTTTGTCTAATTATTTTATGATTTTTTCAAACTAGCCAAATTAAATCAAAAACCCAACTTATTTATAGTAAAAATATTATTGTATACTATATATTCAAAAAGGTTATTAACTCTGCTCTAGTTCTAGAATATCCTTTATACAGTATTAATTATTCCGATTCCGTATAGAAATATTTATAATTCTGGTTCGCACTATGACCTAACTCTGGCCAGATTCGAATTTCTTCAAATCAGATAATTCGGTCATTTTGATTTTGAAAAATTATAAATGTCCTAATCATGTGGGACTTTCGTTAGAACTTTTGAACATCTTTTAAACAAATTTTGGAAAATGAACATTCCATTTTCTAAACAAGGTAAGATAGATAAAACTTCTAACTTTATTCGTTTAATAATTTAATAAAAATTTTCTTTTTGAGCAGAAGTTCCCCCAGAGGAAACCGATTTGTTTACCGGCTTAGATATAAAGAATAACCGGCAGACACCTACACAACACCAGCGGGTTTCGTCCGTTCCGAATTCTCCAGAACAGACGAATCATAGGTGGCAAAATTCTAACCAGCGCATGGGTTAGTTATTTAATAAAAAAAATAACTGAATAATGAAACTTTGGGAAAATATATTTGGGTCTTATTTGAAAAGTTCAACGAGCTTAAGTTGTTGCAAAACGATTAGTCAAATTTTTTTGAATGACTTCAAAGCAATTGGATCAAATTATTCGAGGTGTATTCTTGATTATTAGAAACTGTTTTCATAAGTTAAATTTGATTGAAAGTTGCTTTGGAGATGTTTAAGAAATCTTCCATCAAGTGGGTCAAAAACAAAATTAAAATACACAATTTGTACTGATGATCGTTGTGTTTTTCTATATCATACATACAGTAAATTCGATTGCATCTTTTTCAATGTCTGGTAATCTCTCTGAAATTTCTTTAAAATCCAATGATGTTTCTCCAGCGATTTCAACTGCTACTACGATGCAGAATTCGGCATTTAGGTTTATTTCCGATTCTGGTGAGCATAAACAAAATTAATTTTTGTCTATATGATTTTTTTTTTGTAAAAATCGAACTTGCGATATGATTTGCAATAGAATCCCCATCATTCCTAAATATCCTTAATGAAAAGCAAGCAAGAAATCGCCACAAGCAACTGAAAAAATTCCGAATTTCCCGTTCAATAATTCCACTCCACGTGAAAAATCACAATCAAGTTTAAATAATTTCGTTTTCAATCACGAAGGTTTGTATAAATTTAAAACCAAAAAAGTAAATTTATGTTCAAATATAAAGTATTTTCTGAACATATAGATACATTGGCCTTCGCTGTACCAAATAATGGACAAAAAAGACCAGCACTTAAATCACAAGCTCAAAATCTTTCGTTTTCTCAGCGGCCAATTTCGATTTCTTTGAATTCTATAAAATCCCGTTCCAAGGCCAATAAAGTATCCCTTGAAGAACTTGCTATTGATACAGAATCAAATTCAAATATACAAGGTGGAATGGCAACTACTTCCATATTGAATTCTCCACCTCCTTTGACAAAGAATAATAAAAGTAAAACGGAATCAGAATTATCCAGGTTGGAAAAAGAATTGCAACAAATTATCGATATACAATCAAACGTTTTTCAGAGAAGGAATTCGATTTATGAACAATTGGCTGAGGTAAGGATAATAATATGGAATATATGTGATGTTTCACCAAATCTAATTATTTTAAATTACAGAACTTTGGTAAAGTGAAATCACTTGAAATAGACCAATCAAATGCTTTATCTAGTGAGGATTATGCTAGAGCAGATAAATTGACACATGAAATACAAGAAATTCATCATAAAATTAATAACTTTTGCGGTGTATTACCTGGATTGGATCAGACATTGAATGAATTGAGAGAAAAACAAGCTGGCTATTTAAAAAGTAAATCAGAAACTTGTAGAATTTTAGAAAAAGAGTTAAAGACAAAAAAGGTGAATAATTTCGAATCATTATTCGTTATTTTAAATAAATCATTAATTTTGTTTGTTTCTTTCATAGAACGAACATATTGAGACTTGGAAAACATACAGTGCTGATATGGATAGTTTACGAACTATGGAGACTGAACAAATAAATACCACAAGAGAAGAAATTGGAAAAGCGAGAAGGTTTAACATAATACCTAAAAAAAATTCCTTACGCTAAAACTATTATCTAATATAATAATTTTATGTTATGCAGTGATATTGTTTTTAATAAGGAAATTTTGAGTAATAATGAGGCTGAATTAAACGAAAAAATTGAGGACCGTTGTCGAGAGGAAAAATCTGAACGCGAAACCCTTTCTAAAAAACGAGAAAACATACGTGTATGCTACTACAAACATTTTAATAATATATTCGTTCTTTGAATAAAATGGTAATTAAAAAAACTGTTCTTTTCAGGGAGAAATAGAGGAGTTATTGTTACGTGTCGAAAGGTTACGTGCCGAAGAAGATAATTACAGCAAACAGATTAACGAGATAGATATCAAAATAGAAAATATTATAAATGAATATAATCCTGAAAAAGAAGGATTATTAAGGGAAAAAAATGAACTAGACAACAAAGAACGAGACATTGAGAATAAATCGGTTAGTGCTTTGCTTTTTAAGTATAACTATGAGAAATTAAATAAAACTTGGATAAAATAATAATTTTTTTTATATAAAAAAGAGGCATGTGGAAGAAATGGAAAATCAATTGCATAGTAGACTCGACTATTACAAAAAACAACATGAATTATCACAGGAAGAATTAGCTTCATTAGAAAAGCGTATCGAAGAGATGGGGTCTATATCGAAAATTAATCGAGAGGAAGCCAATGAAGTTGAAAAATTAATAGATCATTTAAGGAATCGTGCTCAAAGAGACTTAGATTGTGAAAAGGAAATCTCAGAGTATGTAAATAAAGCGATGACCTTTAATATCATTATATTAAATTATGTCAAATTATTTTAATTGATACTTTTATAGGAACCATGTGCGAATGGAGGAATGCGATGTTGAGGTTAAAAAGTTAACTTCTAAAGTAATGCATGACAAACAAACATACTCGAACGTTCAGCAGGACATATCAACTATAGATACGCAAATACCTGCATTGGAAGAGCAAAAAAAGCTAGCCGTTGCTGGTAATTAACTATATTCTTACACCTTGATAAATTCTTACAAAATCTATTTATTAAATTTTTGACTGCTTTAAAATTTAGGACGAGATTTTGGATTAGCAAGTCGCCTAGCTAACCGCATAAAGGATCTTAAGTCAACACGTGACGAGCGCACTAAATTTTTGGAAACTAAGTGTGCAAGCTTAGAACGCGACCAGGAAGATTTAAAAATGGCAAGAAAAAAATTGGAAGAATACAATTCAAAATTTATTGAAGTTGAAAAAAATATTGGTATTAATTGGGATGAGTTCATTTTGTTATTTTTCTTTTAGATATATTTTATAATTAATCATGATTTATACTCATATGATAGGATCAGAATTGTATGAAGAGTTGAATGAATCACTCTTACAACTTAGATCAAGATACGACGTGTATGCACTGATTTATATTAAATTTCAACTTGATGTGTTATAATAACATCAATTTTTTAATTTAGAGCCAATCAACGGAACTTTCATACTTTGATGAGTTTATTACAGAATGAAATAAAAGGGTTAGAAAATCGTATCGATCAAATTAAAGTAAGATATGGGCTTTTGAATTCAAACGTTCAATCTAATATATTAAACAACCTTCAAGTAGTTGCGAAAAATGAAGGTGAATACTACTTTTTTTTGTTTATTTTTCGTATATTTAATATTAATCATATAAATGATCTTTCATTTGTATGTAAGTAGATTCTTATGAATCAACAAACTCATTTATTAATAATTCAACGCGGCTTAAAGAATTGGAAGCACAATTACAGGAGGCCGTAGAACGCGAAGATTATCTTCTTGCAGGTTGAATTCAAATTATAACTCCAAGTCCTTTACAATAAAAATTTATTAACATTTTTTCCTCTATTTATAGAACAATTACAAACCGAGATTAGTAGTATTCAAAGTCCAGAAGTGTCGGATAAATGAAAGGATATAAGGAGTATACACTATATTAAGTGCAAGATTATATATTTATTATATATCAGATATAGATTTTATATCACTTTATTTTCTTTTATAAAATCAATTATAAATTTATTATTCTTGTTCATATTTATTTCTTATATTTACTACGTATTGATAAAAATCCATATCCATGAAATCGACTGTACGAAAAATACGTGCTTCCAGTAAAGGAAATCTTGTTCTTTGAATGTCTGCAGTAATCATTTCTTTGATTTTTTGTGGAAGTTGATAAAATTTCGAATCATAAATATTCTATTTTAATTTTTAATAAGTGAAATACTTTTTAAAAAATCTTTATAAATGTAATAAGGATTAAAAAAAATTATACTTACATCGTTAATCAATAGTCCAAGAAATTCAACAGTCTTACCTTCAATATATGGTTCATCTTCAACAAGCTTTGTATCGACAATTAAAAAACATTTTCTTATTCTAACATTATCATGCGGTTGTCCTTCGTGTTGTTTTCCTTTATCTGTTGTGTATTTGACATTTTGTTCTATCACAGCTAAATTCTTACTCATATTATGATAAATTAATCTAAAACATAAAATAATGTGTAAATCGCGTAAAAACGCGTTTCTTTAACTAACTTATTTTATAACAAAAACTTACTTGCCAACGACGCGGAAATAATCTCCGATCCACTTTTCTGGATTATCTTCAAATTCATCTAACAAAATTATTTTACCAGGAGGATAATTCATTAACGTTATTAAAGTGTAAAATTTCTTTTACAAAGTAATCGAAACGATAATTTCTTCGATATATACACGAGGTACTGTATAATGTATATAACATCAATTCGTGTAACTAAATATTGGGCTTTAAATTTCATATCATACAAATTTTATAATGTTTATATATGGTTAGCATAGAAATTAGATTAATTTAAAATTAACTTCCAGAAGTTAAAGATCTAAGTCTATTTTAGTAATAACTTTTAATTCCAATAAGTGATTTCTTTTACAATATAAGAAAAGTTTATACTAAAAGACTCATTTGTATAACCAATATTTTATTACTTATTTCTTAATAATTTTTTTAAGGTAACTTGAATTAGAATAATCATTCTAAACATTCTAATCATCTAAATCCATTCTAATCATTTTACAATCATAACGCAAATCATAATTTGGGCTTTTTCTTTCGGAAACTTTAATGAAGAAATGGTTTCTTTTTCATGTGATAAAACCAAAAGATTTATTGTATATGCGTATTTTATCGAACAATAGATTCATATGCTAAATTTAATTTATTATTATAAATGTAATTTAATGTATAGTTAATTGCGCAATCACCAAAACTGAAAGATAAGAAGAGAAATATTTTGTGCATTACGCTCCAAATAAAGGAATATTGGTACCTGAATAAATTACACGTGCAACACCTTAGGATTATGTTTAAAAAATTAGTGCTTTACCACAATATTCCACATTGTCGCATTGCCACTTTTAAATAGTGACCGCCCTTTTCTTGTTTCTACAATTAGTGTACAATATGCAGATCAACCAACCATTCTGTTGAGTTACTCTTCCCTATCGAACAAACTATCAAAACCCGGCATATTATTAAAAAATTGTTGATCTACTCTAAAATTTCTGCATATCAATTTTTTTCTTGTCGTGCTTCTTCCATTTAAATTTTCTCTTGATTTTATAATTATTTTAGGAAGAAGGCTATGGGGGTAAGTTATTAATTTAACCATTTTATCCTCTAAGTAATGCAAGAAAAAAACTTGGAGAGATGAACTTAAAAAAAAAAACATATTTATGTTTATTTTTAGGATATTGACTCTAGGATAAAATCTATCAATGAAAAAATTAAAAAGGAGGAGCAAATGCGGTTAGCTGCCGTACGGGTAAAGTCCTCTACTCAAAACTCTATGGTTCAAGCTCAGGCTGAGCAGAGTATAGTAGACGCTTCAAGACATATTGATTATTTAACGAAAGAATTAGAAAAATTGCAAATAAAACAGCGAAATAGTTTACCATATCCTGTACAACAAACACCGGGTCAATATGGTGGATATCATCACCAAACGCAACAAATACAGCCACATGCTTTCAATTATCCTCATGCTCCTGGCGGTCAGCAAAATTTTCACGGAAACAGCCGCTCCATTTTGACACAACAGCCTCCTTACGAAGATCCAGAATCAATACCTGTTTCAGGCCGCAAGCCCGTATTATCAAATTTGGGTGGGACTTCCTGGCGAATTCTCTTCTTTTTATGCCAGTGAATTGAATTGTTTGCATCATCACTAAAATTATAATTGCGAACCATTCGACTGATCAAGTGTGTTCGCCGGCTACTTTCTAATATCAACAGACCTTATCAAATCGGATACGCCTATTACGAATACGAAGGTATCTTTGAAACTACATGAACTCGAATTTAAAATCGGAGTCGAACAGAAACTTAAAGAAGGCTCGGAAAAGATGATGGAAGCGGTAACTTTATCAAATCCAAAAGACAGAAAAAGTATCCAAGAAGTAACGGTAAAAACTTTGGAAAGTCAAGAAAAACTTTCGATACTTAAGAGATCGTTGCAGAAATATAAACAATTATATATTGGTGAAGGTGATGATGATGATGGTAAGTTGTTCATATGTACATATACTTAAAAAAAAAATATTATTTAAAAAAATTTAGTATACTATTTTTTTCCATAATGAGAAAAGTATTGATCATATAAAAAAATCACGGTTCGGTTTAATTTTGAATTCTTGAATATTACATAATCTGAAAGTATTTTACAATTATTGTAGAGGACGAAGACGAAAGGGCAAAGAGAATAAACCCCGGGATGCGACGTCCAGTAACAGGAAAACTGGATATTCGTATACTTCAAGCTCGAAATGTTCCTCACACACCACTGCGTACACCAGGAAAAGCTCCAGATACCACAGTAATTGTAAAAATTGATGGTACAACAAAAGGGAAAACACGTGTTACCCGCAATGATAAATGGAATGAGGACTTCGAATTTCATGTTGAGAAAGCAAGTGAAATTGAGATTACATTATATGATAAGACCTCAGAACAACATCAAGTACCTATTGGTTTATTATGGATAAAAATTTCTGATATTGCTGAAGAGCTTAGAAAGAAAAGAATTGAGGCCGAAAGCGGTCCTGGATGGGTCACGGCTTCGAATGCTCAATTTGAGACGGGTTCTCCCACTGCCACTAATAATAACGGACCTTATGGAGATACTTATAGCGTTCCGTATGCTGTTGCAAGAACTCAACAAGGAATCGGAACAACATATTTACCCGACGGTATCGAAGCTTGGTTTGAGGTTGAGCCAGCTGGTCAAATATTGCTCAAATTAGACTTCGGTAAAGTCTTTTTATTTGTTTGTTTTGTTTATTTATTCATTTATTTTTTGCACTTATATTTTGATGTTAAATTGACAATTTATTTATAATTACCAGTTAAAGAAATTGCTCGCAAAAGACCTGATCTTGGTAGACAAGGTGCTGTTCGTAAGCGAAAGGGAGAAGTTCATGAACAAAATGGCCACAAATTTATTCAGCAGATATTTTATCAGGTTATGAAATGTGCTTATTGTGAAGAATTGTTCGTGAACGAAGGTTATCAGTGTGATGGTATGTAATATAATTCTGAAATTATCTCTCGTTTTTTTTATGAAAGTATATGTGTTTATTTTATTTCTTTATTTAGATTGTAAATTAACTTGTCACAAGAGATGTTACACCAAAATCGTCACAAAATGCATCTCTAAATCAAATAACGAAGTGGTAAATAACTTTTTCTTTTCTTTTATTGATAAATATTTAATTAAATAATTAATGCATAAAAAAAAAATTTTTTTTGTTTTCTTAGGAATCTTTGCAGCTTATTAATCATCGCATTCCTCATCGCTTTGAAGGTATAACTAATATTACAGCCAATTGGTGTTGTCATTGTGGTTATATTCTTCCATTAGTCAAGAAGGGAGCTAAAAGATGTACTGGTGTGTATGATATGAACATACAAATTATTAAATATTGTTATATATAAATATTTAAATTAATTTTTTATTTGATTTGTGATCAATATAGAATGTAATACTACTTGTCACGCAAAATGCACTCATCTTGTTCCTGATTTCTGTGGAATGACAATGAAGCGTGCGAGTGAAATGATTGATCAAATCCAACGCGCTACATCTATTAAAACTAATAAAATAAGCACCGATTCTCCCCATCTCAAAGAACATCCTCCATTACAAAATCCAAATCCACCATTGCCCCCTTCCCCGAACCAAACACAATTTCAATATCCTCCACCACAACCAACTTATCCTCCTCCTCAAGGTCCAGAAAACACTTATAGTGTTCAGCCTATACAACCTCAATATAATTTACAAGGTCCGGTTAGTTCATATAATCAGCCGAGTCACGTGTCGGTGATATCTTCACCGGTTCAACAAAAACCTCCGTCTCAAGGAGCGACCTACGTTCAACAAAGTCCGCCAATGCAACATCAAGTAATAATCATTATATTGGAAAATATGGGTATATATTTGTTTTAAAAAAATTTATCGACTTAATTTTCTATTATTCAAAATAGGTTCGAAATACACCTACTACTACTCCACCTCCACCTCCACCTCCAAATCCGAACGAATCCATAATTCAAAAAAATCGTAGAGTCGGGTTAGATGACTTTAATTTTCTTGCCGTATTGGGTAAAGGAAATTTCGGGAAGGTTTGTTTAACACTTCAGAAATTTTGCGTTTAATAAGATAATTTTGTTAACTTTGAATTCTTATAGGTTATGCTTGCCGAAGAAAAATATACAAAACAACTTTATGCTATTAAGGTGCTTAAAAAGGAGTTCATTATCGAAAATGATGAAGTAGAAAGGTATTTATGTCATTTATATGTTAAAAGTTTTTTTACATAGTATGATTAAATGTAACTAACTCGTAATACTTATTCGTTTACTCAACTTTAAGTACACGATCCGAAAAACGAGTTTTTCAAGCTGCTAACCGAGAACGACATCCGTTCTTACTTGGCTTACATTCATGTTTCCAAACAGAAACTCGTATTTACTTTGTTATGGAATATGTTAGCGGTGGTGACTTGATGTTGCATATCCAAAGAGAACAATTTACTTATCGACGAGCACAGTAAGTTATAAATTTTGACTAATGGAGTTAAAACGAAAAAGAATTTCATGAAGATTTACTAAATAGAACCAAAATTTTATATAAGGTTTTACGCTGCCGAGGTCTTACTTGCTTTGGAATATTTGCACAAATCGGGTATTATATATAGAGATCTTAAACTCGATAATATACTGCTAACATTGGATGGCCATATTAAGATTGCTGATTACGGTCTTTGTAAAGAAGAAATGTGGTGGGGCAGTACTACCAACACATTCTGTGGAACACCTGAATTTATGGCTCCTGAAGTATGTCAGGAATTTTGGTTACATTTGATAAAGTGTATTAATTTAAATTTAATTAATTAATTAAATATCAATATCCATCATATAGATTCTTTTGGAACAACGATATGGTCGTGCAGTTGATTGGTGGGCTTTTGGTGTTTTAATTTATGAAATGCTCCTTGGACAATCACCATTCCGTGGGGATGACGAGGATGAAATATTTGATGCTATTTTAGAGGATGAAATCCTTTACCCAATTAATATGTCTCGAGATTCAGTATCAATATTACAGAAAGTAAGTTTTAGATTAAAGTGTTATTCATTTAATATATAATAGTTTTATATATAAATTAAATTATAATATTTAGTTACTTACTCGTGAACCTGAAAAACGTCTTGGATCGGGACGCGGTGATGCCGAAGAAATAAAGCGACATCCTTTCTTTAAAGGAGTGAACTGGGATGATATGCTTGCCAAGAAAGTACCACCACCATTTTATCCTTCAATTGTAAGCAATTTTAAATTCAGTATCTCGGATTTCATTATTGTTCTCTCATTTACTAACCCTTTTATTTTTAAATGAATTTAGTCATCTCCCACTGATACATCAAATTTTGATGAGGAATTTACACGTGAGGTACCGGTTCTTACACCCGTTCACAGTCATTTAAATGCTGAAGCACAGGAAGAGTTTAAAGGCTTTTCATATGTTTCAGATTGGGTTGTTGGTAGTTAAAATTATAAATAAGGAAGTTAATATGAAGCAATTTTTTTATCTTTGATTATATCCAATATTATTATTTTATTCTAACAATTTGATATTATTTATATTGTATTTTTTTTTATTTTTGAATGGTATTTTTATTTTTTTGAATATAAGATACAAAAAGTGAATTTATAGTTATGTATATGTACAGCTGTATTGTATATTATCAACCATTTGAATTATTAATTTATAATTAAATGATATACGAAATTTAATTATTATAAATGGACTACTTTACCAATTATGTATTATTAACATAATAGTGCACGATTTAATGAAATATCATATCAAATTAAAATCAATTTCAAAGAAAAAACTTGGTGAAATATTTCGATGACACTAATGTAGTTAATATATTCTTCCGAATGAGATAATACCTAAGCCCTTTATTAATTCCCTAATCAACTTAATATGATTTTAAAAGAAAGAACTTACAATATAGCAAAATTAAATATGGAAAGTGCATATATTTACTTTATATAGTGCTAACTTCGGGAACTTTACTGTTTAATAAACTAAGATAAGCATTCCATAAAACACCAACAGAGCTAACAAAAGGAACTCTATATTTTAAAGGTAAAAATCTAAAATTTACAAATTGAACTATTGGCCATATAGTATAGTTCATTTTTAATGCGGAAATATAAGTCTTAAAAAAAAAAAAAAAATTGAAATGATTACCACAAAAAAAGAAAAAAAAAATAATAACAAAAATTTTCTTTTTCTTACCTCATCAAATTTCTCTTTGATCCCTTCAAAATTTCTTCCTTCCAATACACTAATACCACCAAAAAATAAACATAACCCAAAAGGAGCAAAAAGAAATTGATCCAATAAAACTCTTTTGAAAATCATTTGATTTTGTTTTATTAAATTGTTTTTATTAAATAATACATTTTGTTTAATAAGAGGAGGTTGTTGTGCTTTAACATCTGTATTAAAAGGATATTTCTTATCAAGAAATGTGAACCACTTATTAACTAGTGGAGCAATCGAAAATCCATATATTGTAAATCTTCCTAAACGAGAAAAATCAAACTGTTGTGAAGAAAGATTTGAAGAATCGTTTTTAGATCGAAGCAATGATATCGATTGAGCTAATGAATCTGACGTTATTGCTAAACCTGCATTTGTAAATGCTAATGTTATTGAAGGATGATTTTGATAATTTGTTGAATAAAATCGATTTGCTAATACAAAAATATTTGCCATTTCTTAAAGAATGAAGAGTGAAGAGAGAGATTATATATAAAAAAGAAATTGAAAACAAAAAATGAAAATGAACCATGTTATATATTTTTGAGATATTATTTGCGTATTATGAAATCACCTCTCGTTAATATAAATTTATTAATTAATAATCACGTCACTATTTAATTAATTTACACAAAAAGATCGACTAATGTCTGATAAGTGATAACTTGAATAGTATTAGTTTAAACTTAAAAAAAAAATAATTTTATCATGTAGATCCAATCTTATTTGCAACGAAAATAAAAAAATCACCCAATCCGATTAGGTGAATGGATGAAGGTAAAATTCTCTATTGGTTTGAGAATACACGTGCAAGACCTCACATACACTTTAAATTATTATTTTACCTATCTTATTCTATTGATGTGATGAAATTATAATTGAATCCGTAAAATAATGTGATGAATTGGACAATCAATGAGCGCTTTTTATAGCGAATTTTGATATAACAAATTTCACAATACAACGAATCTTCGTACCGATATTAAAAAATTCTCGTTATTCCCGAATATCACGTTTAACAAAGCAATTCCTATAACTCGCATATACAAAATAACCCTTTTTAAACCGAATTTTTTAAACCGAATTTTTTTTAGTATAAAGAAGATAAATTTTAACATAAAGGGGAAGCGGGCAGATTTGGCCGGAATTACGGCGTTAAGAAATTACGAATGTGACAAAACATTTTACCAAGATCACGTGACTCCGCCCGCCTCCATAAAGGGAAATTTAATCTATTTTATCAAAAGATGGATGATTTATTGATTTATGTCTCGCAGTCATGATCATGACGTTTTGTATAGTGAGAAAATTTGGTACAATGCGGTAAAATATAGGAAAATCTCGAATAATTCGTTAATATAGCATTAACGAATTTTCTCATAACGAAGGGTTGATCGGCCAATTGATGTAATTGAGGAATTGAAAGAAATGATTGAATAATTGATAAGTTGGATATATGATATCAATCACTTTATTAATTTGATATCAAACAATACACGTGATTGCAAATAATAACAAAGCGCTATACTACTTTAAATAAAATGAAAGGAAAATTAGTTGTAATAATGTCGAGCACTACTACTTAAGTTAATAACCTTCGTACATGATAGGAATAGCAGGATGGTAAAATGGATGTTTTTCATTCTATCCCATGATCAGTAAATATTATAAGAAAAGTTTTTTATTTTATTTTTAATATTATAAGAAAGTAAAAAGTAAAAAGAAGGAAAATTAAAAACTACAAGTCACGTGGTGTGAAAAATAATACTGGGAAGTTTTTTCATGATGATCAATCCGTTATACTTTTTTTACTTTTTTTTTATCGCATATGGAAGAAAGCTCCCAAGAATCTGGTATTTCCCAAACCAATAATGAAAATACTCACAATAGTTCTCAAGCTATCGAAAATTCGACTCGATTTGAAACCATTAGTATAAAATCTTCAAAGTCAAATACTAATGTTTCAACTTCCTCGGAAACCCAAATTAATATAAGTGATACTACACCTTTAAGAACTACAAAATTACAGGAAGTTGCTGAATATGTTGAATTGGAGTTTAATAATGGTGGTAATAATATACGATGTTATACTGAGGAAGAGGAAGTACCGGAATTACCAAATGATTTAGTCGTAGGAGACGATAATAGTTCTAGCTCAAAGAAACGTGGTTTATCAAGTGATCAAGCTTTAGAGCAAGTATTTATTTTCAAATAATTATTTTTTTTTATTCCAATTTACTCAGATAATATATTTCTTCTAGAAAACTTGTTGAAGTTGCAAGTGAAATACTCGAGGGACATCAAAATCATTTTCCGATTTCAACATGTAAATGATCTATAATAAATGAGACTTAAGTAAATATTATTTATTCAAAAAAATGAACCACAAATAAATTCCTTTTTTTTCATTTACAATAGGTATAAAAGAATATTTAATTAGTCCTGATTCAGTTCTTACAATTTTATCATCCAATCTTTTGATAGCTTTTTACATATTTGGAACGTTAAAAAGCGAATTATATCAAATACATCTTACTACAATTTTAATTGAAGCTATTTTAATATTAGTGATATTTATACTTAATGGATTTATTTATACTAGGGAGAAAAAATTGGGTATGAATGAGATCAATAAACGTGCCCAAAATATATTAGACCAATTAAAACAGAGCAGAATGGACACTATTCAGGTACTTAATGTAATTTATTTATTTTGTTTTCTATGGATTTAATTTTTATATTTATTTTATTTAGGATATAAAAATTCCAATTGTTCCTTCACTTACGGTAGCAAAAGTTATCCGTGATGGTATTGTTCGAATTTTTCCTACAACCTTATTAGTAGAAGGAGATGTTGTTGAAATGTTATATGGTGATGTAGCACCATGTAAGATGAAGTTAATACAACAAGAATCTTCAAACAATAATATTTTGGAATCTGGTCAATTGTTTAAACCATCATTTTTTAGTGATATGACATCAAAAGAAGTGTATGAACAACATATTCAAAATAAGGGAAGGTATCAATTTGTCCTTTTGGAAACTCCTTGGGCTAATAGCTTGAAATCTGCATTGAATCAAGAAAGACCTGATACTGTTATTTATAAACAAGCAAAAGTTTTACAGAACATATTTCTTTATCGAATACTTTTTATCATACTTGCACTAGCTATTATAATCAATCTTTTAAGATATAAAATTTCAGGAAATGAAAATTCAGATCAGTTATTTGAAATATTGGTCGTGTTGCCTATTTATGCTATACTTCCCATAATACCACTAGCTTTTCCTTTGCTTTGGCTGATTGTTCGTAGTTTTGCAAATGCTACACTACTGGTGTTATTTGAAACTTTACAGATTTCAAAAACTGAATACGAAGATGATGAAGAAGTAGATGAATTTGATGCTGAAGCGCCTCCACCCACAAAAAATGTGCACCTTGATACTGGTATTTAAGATTGAAAACAAGTTTGTATTTTTATATTTAAATTTTAACTATTAGTCTATTGTAGGTGCTTTGTGGAATAAATTCAGATACTTACTTACAAAATTGGATGGATCTTCGTTAGCAAGATCAACTAATTTGTTTGAGTCACTTGGAAGCACTACAGTTATTTGTTCAATTGACCGAGAAGGGACAATTTCATCTGTAAAAATCAAACTTTAAGGATTCTTTCCCTCTTGTATGGATATGTTTAATTTTCTTACTGTTTGAATATTTTGAATTTTGTAGCCATTTGCTTCAGTTGAACAAATAATTTTTCCTAATGAAAGCGAAGATATTGCGGTTCTTGATATTGCTGAAGATCCAAGTACTTCATTTGGAGTTCAATTTGAAGATCAAGATTGGGATCAGCATTTGTCGTATGTTTATTATTGGTTATTATCAAAAATCATTTTTTAACAATTATTATAATTAATTTATAATTTAATATTTAATTTTAGTCGATTAAAACCTTTGGGACTTAATCTCTTGTTAAACACTAATTGTGGTGTATTAAAAGGAAAAAAACGTGCGGAACAGCATCGTAAATCTTCAAGTCTTCATATTCGTGCTAAGACAAAACCTGCTCGACAATGTAAGTCTTTAATTAGAAAAAAAAAAAAATTTAATTTTATTATTCATATCTAAATATTGAATACTCTTTCTAGCATGTTTATGTCGTTTGGGTAAAGAAATAGGTTTTACAGATGATGCTTTAAAAGCATTTGCAAAGAGAAAAGAAATTTTTACTGTAACTCCATGTCATCCTTCTTTAAAACAACGAATAAGGAATGATCAATGGGAAATGCCTATTATGAATTCTTCTATTTACGAAGAAGTTGAACAAGGTATACACTTATACAACAAATTAATATTTTGTCAAAAAAAAAAAAGCTATTGATTTATTATTATTTCTATAGGCAGTTTTCAATTACTTTCTGATGGTAATATAGAAATTATACTTGATAACTGCTCTGATTACTGGAATGGTCAGGGATTACATGTTATGAGCGAAGTGGTAAGAAATAGTTCTCAAATTATATTAATCTTTTTTTTACATATTATTGAAGTTTTATTTGTTTTACAGATTATGAATAAGATTTATGATTTCTATGAGAATTCCATTATAAATGATATGCAATGTATCGCATATGCATATCGACCTATAAATGTTGAAAATGAAAACAAAATTCCGTTTTTGTTGGATTCGCCTAATGATTCAAGTGAAATTTGTATTATTTTACCAAGTTCTCCTGAGTCAGATCAAATAAGTATATCTGAAGATGATGATCTCTCCTTATCACAAAAAGTTAGACTTGAACGATTGAAGGCCGGCCAATTGGAAGCGAATCTGCATGATTTTTCTTTTGATGGGAGTACACCTACTAATCAAGAGAAAGAAAGATTTTATCAGGAAGTTATTCAAGGACAAATTTTTCTAGCTATGGCGACATTTTGTCACCAGCCTAAATTGGTATAGTAAAAATATGTATTTTTATTGTCAGATTAAACAATTGAAAAAATTTATGTATTATTTTAAAATACAAATCATTAATTAATTAATTTAAATATTTTAGGATGTCTGTAATTTTATTGAAGATTTGAATTCTGCTGGCATACGCTTTGTATATTTTTCACCAACAGATGAAAGAGAAAGCAAAGGTTTGATGTTAATATTTTAAAGATAATGTTTTGTTCCATCCAATAATATAAAATACATATATTTTAGCTTATGCTGAACGGCTTGGACTTGAAACGGATTGGAATAGCTGTATACTTTTATCATCACCAGGTGATGAAAATTCATTCGGTGATGGTTATTTAGAATCACATGATATTAAAGCACGTCTTCCCCGTGGTATAGATAAAATAAGAGATCATCTACGAGAAGTAGATGACATTCCATTACATGTATCTTTATTCGCAGAATGTACTCCTGAAGCAACACGTGAGATGATTAAAATATTTCAAGAATATGGAGAAGTTGTTTGTTGTATCGGAAGTGCATTAAATGCTTCAAATACTCATACATTTGCTGTTGTATGTCTTTTTTTCCAGAAATTAAATTTGGAATTTGTTTTGAAATCTAAAAAGATCAAATTTTTTTTTTTTTCTAGGCAGATGTAAGTGTTGCAATGGAGCCAACACATACTAGAGCACAAACCAAAAATGGAGTATGCCATTATAATGGTAATAATGGTAAAGGACAATCCCCAATGGCCCTTGGTGCTGCTTTTACTACTTTACCTTGTGGTTTATTCATGCATTATGACACTAGTTTATATGCATTAACTGATGTTATAAGAGAAGCTAGAAGATTAATCAATTGTTTAAGAATGGTATATAATATATTTTATCTTAAATTTACTTTATATTATTTCAAGCATTGACTGTTTATTTTATTTTTACTTTAGGGAGTTGCATTTATATTAGGATGTTATTTATCTATATCATTACTTTTGTTATTTTCATATATCTTGTTCCTTCCACCTGCTTTTACAGGATATCAAATATTATGGGTTACTTGGATAATTTCTCCTATATTAGCATTTTCTTTTTTATTTAACCCTCATGAACCTGATACTATGACAACTATGACAGGTTAGTTAATTTTTATTATTGATGTAAACCATTTAAAAAAATACTAGTATATAATATAAATTATTTAAAAAATTTTAGTTAAAAATATAGAGCATCTCAAAGACTTTAAAAGATTTGTACTATATTGGTTTTTGAGATTTATTTTACCTATATTAACATGTCTCTTAGTATTTTTAGGGTATGTATATAATATATGTATATTTAACTTTTTTTTTTAATAATATTTATTAATATTATTATATAATTTATAAATAGATGTTTGTATTATTTGGATGATAACAGAGATTCAAATTTAATATTTGGATTTCATGAAAAAAATACATGGTTAAGATGGACAAATAAACAACAATGGATTGTAATATACTCACAAAATTGCACATTATTTATATTTGTATGGTATATGAGTAAGTAAATTTATTATTTGTATATTTATTTAATTTCTAAAAATTTTAAAAAATTATTATTATTATAGTTATATTATCATCCACTTTTATTCATCGCACATTATCTTTGAAAAGATTTATTCCATTTAAAAATCGAGTTTGGATATTTGCTATAATTATAAGGTAATTTGTAATAATATATATATATATATTTTTATATTCTTAATAAATATTAATTTAATACTTTACCAATTTACTATTAGTTTATTACTTCAAATAATATTTACTACAATATCATTAGTATTAGGACCACTTTCATTACTTAAAAATCTTCCATATTATATTTATCTTATTGGATTTTTATCACCTATATTATTTATACCTATACAAGAATTAGTAAAAATGCATGATAAAAAAGAATATAATAGATTTCAAAAAAGATCTAAATTGGAATTTAATACAAAATTAGGTATGCATTCTCCTGTATAATAAAAAATAATATAAAATAAATAATAAACATTTTTATTTTGAATTTATTTTATTTTTTTTGAGTTTTATTAACTTGCTCTTTAGATTAAATAATTTGGTTTAAATCATTCCTTTAAAATTTATATTTATTTTTTTTTTTAAAAAAAAAAAAATTATTTGTGTTATTATTCATTTTACTTTATATAAATTTTATTAATTTGAACATTATCCCTTAAACAGTAAGCAATTGCAGGCAAATTTGTTTGCAATTTTACCAAATTTTAGCTCTCATCTAATTTATAAAAAATAAAGCAATTTTAATAAAATTTTTTTTCAAAATAGTTTAAATTATATATTATGCAGCAATTATTATCATTTATTAATTATATATTATAAAATCAAAAATTACCTATTAGTCAAAAGTTGTATTTTAAAATAATCACAAAATTTTAAAAAACTTTGCACTTTAATTTTGATGATTTCATTGATAATTAATTGTAGCTATATAAAAGCTTAATAGAACTATATATATGCAGAATTTGGTATAAGAAACAACTTTTATTAATATGATTTTTAATATTTAAAAGTAGGATTTTAACTTTATATAGAACTTTAATGAAAATTTTATTATCCCTTAAACTGTTTTGCGGGCAAATTTGCCCGCAATTTCTAAATTAGAATAAATGACACTATAAAAAATTCTTTAATTTTGGCCAGATCGTCACATAATTTTGCAGCCAAATTGATCTACATTCTGGCCATAAATTGTATGAGTTAGATATACAGTTGATCATTAAAATTGGATTGGAAATTAACCCGCAAAAATAGTATCGGAATTTTTATATAATAAAATTTAAACTTTTCTTACCATATT